TTCCAAACACAATCTGGTGTGAAATTTTCTTACCGAATACCACATGAGGTCAAATTACTTTCCTGGAAATTCTTCTAGCTCGTCTTCGACTCGGAATAATTTTCAAACTATACATGAGCTCGAAAAAATTTCCAGAAATAACTTGACCTCTAGTGGTATTACAAGTGAAAATACCACTATTTTGAGTCACTTGAGCATGTCAGTGTCAAAGCATCTATCATATCAGTTGTCATCCGACATCTTTTGAGTTCCTAGGAGTTGAACTTGAACTTGAGCCCCTGGACAAGTGTTGCCTAGCAACATACATACTAATCATTTAATTGTGTCAGTAAGAGAAACGTCAACTTCAAGAGCTGATTCTGGAACAAAAATGGACGACTTTGGCGCCGATTGCAAAAAAGAGTATTTGATATAGTTATTCGTCATTTAATGTAATCAGTAATATTTTTTTCAATAATCGCAACCAATGAAAATAGGACCAAGCAATCTAGAGGAAAATGGAGAAATTTTCTTGTACAGGTCTGATTTGAATATATTTTGTTCAGAAAGGCCGCCTATTTCATTGTCGGGAGATGGCTGAAATGCATCGCGGTACAAAATATATCTAAAAGTGCGTCGCATCCGGATAACCTGCCAAAATGAACGAAACACTGCAGTAAATTGTGTACTAGGATACTGTCTGTAGGTTAATCGAAGATGTGGAACATTCATTATTCCAAATTTTTTGGGATTTTCTCTCTTCGTTTCTATAAAATGAAAATATGAATATTATTTCAAAATACGTATAGTAGGGACAAATCAGATGATTTGCCCCAAAATGTCACTGTGTTTGAAGAATTTTCCTATCATAGAGCCTACAAGAAAAATTCACTAGCTTGTCAGTGACAATTATCATTTGAAAAAGGGAAATAAAGGTGCAAATTAAAGTTCTCGAAATGTCATACTAGTGTATACAGATAATTCGATCACTTCATGGTAGTAGAACTCTAATAACCGATAGAAAATCTTATTTTATATAAGGATGAAAATTCTAATGAATATTTGTTATTGAATATTCAATTTATAATAATTTTTATAACCATTTTTCATGGGATACATGACGATACAGACGATTCATGCTGAAATTAGTCTACACAGTGTCATTCACTCAAGTTGGCATAATATGGGAAAAACTTCTAGCAATCATTTGATTTCGAATCAATTAATTGAGAAAATATTATGCCAACAACTTTTCTTGGTAAGTTCCTTTGGAATTCAAACAATTTTCAGGGATTACATTGAACAAATGTAGGTAACTTTTGACATGCAGCGAAGGTCACGTGACCCCGACCTGGTAGTCCATTTTTCATATTTTTTTAAGATTGCGAGTGAATCATATTCATATGCATCAGATTCTCCAACATTGCTATCGACTAAATTGTCTGATAAATCAGAACCTTTCTCACGCGTACTCAATCAAAACTCTCAAACGCAATTACAAGATGAACATCACTATGATGACAGACATGCCTCTGGATATTATCAACCTTTAAATTCATAATGGTCAATTTTATAATACGTTTATTGATTTGTCAATAATAATTGGGAAATAAGAACCATCTCCATAGGAACCTGATGTGTTTGATTTGATCCATTCATTATCTAGTTATTACATATTCGAATTTTATAAGAAGATTTCCTCTTCTAAATCTGATGATGTTTTATATATTAAAGGTAATATAGGTATAGATCCAAAGGTAATATAGTATTGGACCACGCACACATTATACGGGAAAATGTCTTCTGATGAAAATGGCTGGATTTTTGATATGTTGTAGCTGAAGTCATTCTGAGTAAAATACTCCATTGGCCCAACTCGATCGTATGACCACATTCAGCGCTAGAGGGTGAAACAACATGAATTTCGTGTATTTTCGAGATTGCGGGGCTCAATAAACAATATGAAAATCTCAAGATATGGAGTCACCCCAAAATGAAGATTAGATATGCGGTAGGGGGTTATTGGGATCAGTTGAAGGTAAGTATGTTTCAAGGGCACAGAGAAGATGCAATAGCCTTTTTACAGGGTGGTTTTCAGAGAATGCGAATGCAATCGCCTACGAGACTTGGCTGATTAATTGAGTTCATCAATGACCATTGATCAGAAGGAACGTTGACCGAAAAAAAGAAGAGGATATATCATGAATACAGAGTGATCCAAATATCAAAAGATCCAATGTGTCCTATGATGTTGTTCTCTGAACCCTATTTTCGAAATACAACAAGAATAAGGTTCACCTACATTCTCGTCATCACTCTTTGTTCGCTTTGCCATATGCAAAAATCCACGCTTCTTTATGAGGAGGAATTGAAAAGAATAATGAGGAAATGTTAATCAATGTTTTATTGATGTGTATTACTAGGGTGTGTGTGTGTGTGTGTCCACGAAGTTATCCCATCCCAGTTTACTCTTGAACGGCTGGGATTTTTTATTCTTTTCTGTCCCAATGGTAGTTGAGAGCTACATACTGAGTGAAACAGAAAATATTAATCTCGAAGTATTTTTTAAATGGAATGAAGGGTTCAGTGTCCCATTACTTCATTTGAAACGTCTTTCTATTATCTATAAGACACCATCAGCATCTATCATAAAAATGTGATTCTCATGGTTGTTCCCGAGTGTATTGAAAGTTTCATGATTCTCCATTTTCCTATATACTATTATGATATGGTTTCATAATACAGTCATTACAATTGATGTGATAATAATTATTGATATAAATCTATATTTCATCATGATAGACCTGGTGAATGTACACCTTATCTTGGGTGTATCAAGGAGATTATTTTACTTGATGAAACCCTTCTGGTAGCTTTTGATGAAAATCACCTAAGGAGAGTCGAGCAAAGTTCGATATCTGGTACCAACGAGGATATCTCAAGTGTAGATCGATCCAGCATCTTTTTAGACAATGTAGCATTTGCTCTTTGCATACATTCTGTGGCGTGATACCGATACTAGCAATACTATATGAACTCTCTAAGATTGCAGATACACGGATGGATTTTATACGGCCATTTATTACTCCAACAATATCTATCTGAATTTGTCTCTGTTTTCAGTTGACGATTTCCTCTTTGTAGGAAGGCTAGCATTTTAGTTGATACAATTCTCAGATAGATGTTCAGTGTCTCTGTACCCGCAATCTGCAGTAAAATTGTCACCATCTTGAAACCATTGGCGCATATTCCCAACATCCCTTTCATATTCATTCCTCAGAATTTCTGCATCATTAGGTATTCCTGGAATTTGAGAAATATGAACCATAGATTGTTAGTACGTGGCCAGCTGATGCTATCGTCTCATCACTGAAAAGTCAAAAGAACTCGACAAGCCCAGTCAAGCTTTGGAAAGCTTCGCCAATGGAAGTATTTCCTCCAAAAGAAAAAAACATTCTAATATCGACCTACCTTTTCCCCCTATATACTTCCTATAGGTATTCACGATGGTTCTTGAACATAATAGGGACTCAATTTGGTGTGCTTCAAGAGATAGAGAAAAATAATCAATTATGGTTTCATCAAATAACTGTAGATCGCAGGTACATACAGATTCGCTAAACATCAACTTGAGAATTTGGGTATCAGGTACTACATGTGCGCACGTAACCAGTGTCGTGTGGTTCCTTTGGTAGGTATGCTTGATAAGAGGTCAACATTCTTCTGTTCCGAACTATTTTACAAAATACATAACGCTTTGAAGAGTTTCCTTCCATATTGATGGTATCTACAATATATACACTGGCTTAATATATTATAACATTCCATTATTCTTTCGAATCTCTCTCGAGAAAAACATGGATTTTTTGCATACGGATATAACGGCAATGTAGACAGAGAGTGATGACTTGTGTTCGTGAATCGTCTTGTATTTCGTAAAAAAGGTTGAGAGAATAACATCCGAGGACATATTGGTATCTTCTGATATTTGGTTCACTCTGTATTAATGATTATATTTTCTGTTTTTTCGGACAATCAGTCAAGACTCTAGGCGAATGCATTCTCATTCTCCGAAAACCACCCTGTAAAAAGGCTATTGCATCATTTCTGTGCCCTTGAATCATACGTACCTTTAACCAATCTCAATAACTCCCTGCCGCTTATTATCAATCTATATAATATGGGATGAATCCATATCACGATATTTTTAAATTATTCATTGAGCTCCGTAATCTCAGAAATTCACAAAATTCATGATGTTTCATCCTCTAGCGCCGAATCTGGTCATACGATCGAGTTGGGCCAATTGAGTCTTTTACTCAGAATGACTTCAGCTACAACATATCAAAAATCCAGCCATTTTCACCGAATGACATTTTCCCATATAATGTGTGCGTGTGGTCCTTTTGAAAATCAATCTGTGTAAACGAAAGATACGAAAAATGATTCGAAGAAAATGTCTCTGAAATGATCAGTTTCAACGCATTATTTTCACCAGTAATGCCACGATGTCCTGAACATCTCACTCTGAATATCAGAGATGTTTTGTCAGTCAGGAAATTGTGTTGCCGTTTTAAGGAATACCACTCGTTTAGTAAGAGTCCGTGTTGTCAACAATAAAACACAGAATTATGATACAGAATTATGACAGATTTATGAGACAGAACTATGATACAGAATTATGAAACAGAAGAGATATATGATACAGCATTATGAGACCGAAATATGTGACAACAATTATGATACAAAATTATCAAACAGAATTATGAGAAGATGTTCAAAAGAGAGCAGTATCTTGCTGGTTTTCATCAAATTCGATTCATACATTTTCATTAGAGCGACTCATTCTTACGTCTACTGCTACAGTTATTTTTGTCGAACTGTTAAACCATGCTTTGTCATCCTATAGTGTTTCCGTAATGATAAATGCATATTGTGCTAATTCATTTAATTTCTTCTCTTTTCGAAACTTCTTCGGAAGATTGAAAATATTGAGAAAATCATTTAATTTCAGAGTGAAAATGGGACATGGTGGTTACCATTCTAACCGAGCAGAATTTTTGTCAGACGAAGCCATCTTGAAATACAGTAGGAATGGGGGATGTTTCGTCACCACCAAAAAAGCTATAGCGTTTGTAGTTTTTGCCCTAGCTTCTCTCCTAGTTGTGATACTGTTGATGTATTTCTATGGGCCCAATAATATAGAAAGCGAGAAGGTAAGACACTTTTTCATATATAACTTTCTACGCATTATACAGTGGCGTACTCATGTTATTTCTGTAATCGTTCATTTTCAGATAATCGAGCAAAAATAATTTTTGATAAGTTATAGGAAATCTGAGTCGAACTGGATAGATATATACTACCCTTTGGCAAGAATATATTTTGGCTCCTTTTTCTAATAATGAGCGATTACAGAAATTAAATGAGTACGCCACTGTATTGTACGCAAAAAGTCATATAAAGCCCCGTATTTATTCTGCCAAAGAGTTGAAAAGTAACAAAGATCTGGGAGGTGCTCAAAAAGAAATTTCAACTTCGCCCTGTTTCTCAAAAACAAGAAGGATTATAAAAATTCTGTTTGCGGTATCATTTGCTTCACAACAAAGTAAGGCAGTAATGTGTGAACTACGAAGCTGTGGGAGGGCCATCTCTATTTTTTTTATTCTCAAGTTTTGAAAGTCGAGAAGTCGAGATCACGAGTTTGTAAAGTCGGGATCTAACTCGAGATTTAAAAATAAAAAAGACTGCTTAATTTTTTTGGAATATATTATTATATTATATTTTATATTTTTTTTGTCATCGTCTTTGTGAACTGAAAAATAATATGTTTGCTATTATCAGCATGTCTTGTTCAATAAATATATACAGGATGTTTCCTTACTAATTGGAAATATTCCAACCATAGAATCCCGAACTCAAAATATGAAGATTCAACCCGAATCTCCTAAATAAAATATGTCTCCTGTCTGAGTTACAGGATGTTTTATTCAAAAATTTTGAAATGTTTTTTGCCCAAATCTTCAAAACTATTTGACGTATCACTTTCATATTTGGAGGGAAGTGTAGGTATCATACATAACTGGATTATGTAGAATTAATTTTTCTACCTATTACCAGAGGCGTACGATAAGGGCAATTAACTGGTTGATCCCCCAAAATTCTACGCCACTGGCGGAATTGCGATCCTATAACAAATTTTCGATTCTCCAACAATCTCGACGTAGATATTGTACTCTTTCTCCATGGCGATAAAGTCATTATTTTTCGAGATATTTCAAGTTAGACATAAATCTGCACAATCATTTTGATTTCAATGTGCATTAATGTTGTCAATATTTGGGATCAATGGATTGTTTTCATCAATAAAATGAAACTTCAAATCATATTAACAACAAACACATAATTACATAACAGACAGGAGCTGTTACAGGGTGTTCAATTATGTAATATATTCACAATTTTAAAACGCCCTGTAACAGCTCCCGTCTGTTATGTTTTTATGTTAATATGGATTGAAGTTTCATTTGATTGATGGATGCAGTCCATTGATCCAAAATATCGACATTATTGATACGTACACATTAAAATCGAAATAATTGTGCTCCTTCATGTTTAACTTGAAATATCTCGAAAAATAATGACTTTATCGCTATGAAGACAGAGTACAATATTTACGAATAAGGTTGTGAAGAATTCAAAAATTCAGATCAAATTGCAATTCCGCCAGTGGCGTAGAATTTGGGAGGGATCAACCAGTCACTTGCCCCTGTCGTACGCCTCTGGTAATAGCTAAAAAAGTTAATTTCACATAATCCAGTTGGATGTATAATACCTACACTCACTTTCACTAGACAAAAAACATTTCAAAATTTGTTAATAAAACACCCTGTAACTCAGACAGGAGACATATTTTATCTAGGTGATTTGGGTAAAATCTTCATATTTTGAGTTCGGGATTTCATGATTGGAATATTCCCAATTAGTAATGAATCACCCTGTATAATTGAACATTTCCATACCAGCATATACCTAGTATTTTTGAGAAACTTCCATGACATCATGATACCTATCAAGATCAAGAGGACGTTTAGTTTAACCTGAATCATTATCTTCAATACTTCAAAACTTTCATGATGGTACCTACCCATCTATCACCTGTCATAGGTACAGATTTTAAATAATGAGATAAAATGTTGGGTGAAAATTTCATTTAATAATGCAATCAGGTTTTCACATTTACACATCAAACTCGAGTATCCTGATTTTTTCTTCAGTTTCTTCCAACTGATCTTTGTGCTTTCTTTCTCAATCCTTTGAGTTCTTCATTGTGGGAGATGACTTCAAACAAATTTCCATCTTGATCTTGACCAACAAGTCGAAGATGAGATTCCATGTCTTCTGGTATGGGTACTTCCTAGAAATGAAATACTGCATTAAAAAAGAATAATTATTGATAACTCATGAGAACATAATCAAAGATTATAGTTTGTTTGATGGAACACCTTGAATTTGTTTATATATTTCGATTTATCAATATCTGGTCTACACAACCATGTCTCATTCTCACAATTTTTTTGAGATGTTACCGAGTTGATAACAATCATTTAAAAAAATTTTAAATCACAGCTGTTGATTCTAACTTGTTTGTTGATCTCCGTTTTCCATCCCAAATTATGCTTGCATCATTCAAGATGATAATATGATATTGAGAAGGAATATTCTCAGACAAAATTATGAACATAAAAAAAATATATATATTCAAAGAAATACATTGAGAATTTGCATACTCTATGTGACGGAACTTTAATTCCTTCATCTGCCACGGCAAACATTGAGTTATATCTGTTGAACACACACGATAAGAATTCGAGAACAAGATCTCCTGAAGTTGAAAATTTGCATTCTCCTTCAGATAAAAATATGTTTATGCACATACTCAATGTCATTCTGGATATCCAACAGGAAACAACTAATTTCCTGGCTATATGCCACGTCGAACATTGAATTATGTCTGTTGAACATCCAAAAGGAGAGCATGAAACATGAAAATCCTCTGGAATTGAGAATTCATAGAGAAAGAATGTCAATTCTCAATTCCAGAGGATTTTAATTCTTCATGCTCTCTTTTTGGATGTTCAACACATGTTCGAAGTGGCCAATTGCCAGGAAAGTAGTTGTTTTCTGTTGAATAAACCTATAAAAAATTGATATTTTTATCACATAGAGAATGCACATTCTCAATGTACTTCTTTATATATACATGTTCAGATTTTTATCTGAGAATATCCCTTTTCAATACTTTCACCCAATCAATGAGTACAAAGTTGAACGATATTTTTATAGACGTTTAATCGCAGATTTGTGATCAGGTCTCCTCAATTCAGAATTCTTTCCACGTCCTGTATGATGAATACTAATTTGTCATACATCCAAAAACAATTCGATGATATCGTCGGTGTAATTAGCAATGTGCGTAACTCCAATATTGGGTCAAAATGAAATTTTTTTGCCATCTGTTGGGAAAAAATTCAACGAATATGTTGGAAAACGGTCAATCTCCAAATAAATTTCTCCAGCAGAATAAACTCAATAAAGAATAAATCGTAACTCCAACGCGCCATTTTATGTTCGGCAATATTCGTATCTCCTAGTTCATTCGCATTTTTCACGTAGCGTGTCTACTGTTCACATGTTCGGCAAAACATCATCAACTTCTGGTTTATTATAGTGAAAAAATATGCAATCTCACATTGGAAAAGGTAATTAAAACATCTATCAATATCAATAAAAATCAATTGAAATTGGGTTTATAATCGTTATCATGGAGTTACGAATTTTCCGCTCTCATCCAAATGATTCGAATCTTGGAGTTAAGTCATTCAGTTTTATTGCTCTCCTGAAAAGTTAGTCATTGTGGAGTTACGCACTTTGCTAATTACACCGACGATATGCTTCGACTATCGCTTCAATGAAGTCATAATTGAGAGTTACCTACTTCACAGAGTGTGATTTATGATAAACTGCCAATGTTGAATTTCCCGATATAACCATGTTTGGAATGTTTTCGTTGATATATTCGCATTGTTTGGAAACAGAAAAGTACTATTTGATTTTTTTGTTCTTAGGCTATGATTATTCAATTCAATTTTCAGCAGTCTATCCAAATATTTTGGACTTCACTCACTCAGAAAAATAGTTGGTAGTGAATACCAAACGTTTGGTAAAATAGGCGCCAATCACTACATTTATCGAATAATACCACAACAAAATTGTATTATACTATCAGGGGGTTCAAACTTGAACGATATAGAAACTTGTGATTTTTATAGACCTCTAATCGCAGATTTGTGATAGAGTCTCAATTCAGAATTTCTTTCCACGCCCTGTATGATGAATGTCAATTTATCATACACCCAAAAGCAAATACTATTTTGAATTGGTTATATTTGATATAGTATAGTATTATACAATAATTCTGTAGTATGAATGTAGTGACTGGCGCCTAATTAACTGAACGTTATTTGGTATTTACTATCGACTTATTTTTTCAGTGCTGATCATACTGAATTTAATTACATTGATGATTAAAAAACGACCTTTACATCATGCACGATTATTCATTATAGCTGATATACGTGTTTTCTCGAGGTATGAAGTTTGGTTATTCTGTGGTATGAATATGAGTATAAAACACATTAATATGCAAATCATTTATGCAAAAATAGACACTTATGCAGCATGCCTACTTTGTTCTTACATTTAATATTCGTATAAAATAACTCGATTTCCAATTTCACCTTTGAAATTACCATACCATATTACCAATAGACAAATTTTAGGTGAATTAAGGAAATGGGGGGTATATGTAGGTACTCGTCTAGAAGGAATACGCATAATTTTTAAATTTATCGAAATTATATACTGATTCTCTGTTGATTACCCTGAGTATCATCATACCACCTCCAATGTGTTTTTAACTTTCGACAACTCAATTTTGATGAGCTTGGCTATTAGTTGAAAATCCAAATATGTTTGAATTACGATCGAGGAACAATCAAAAATTCAGTTCTACATTATGTTTCATAATAAAATGAAGAGATATTCATGAGTATGAGTTTTTCCAAAAAATATAATGGGTTGTCCAAAGAAAACCAGAATTTCCTGTTTGCATCATAACTTTTTCACTTGTGTGTAATAATTTTGGTTTTATTCGAGAGAAAATAGAGCTCTGATGAAAATCCAAATTTGTTCAAATTTCAGTCGATAGAATAATCAAGAATTCAGTTATTAAATTATGTTCCATGATGAAACGAAGAGACATACAGAGAAGTGCACAAAAAACGGCCAGGACTGTAACTTTTGAAATATTCGAGATAGGATTTTGAAAATTGGTGGGTAGCAAGTAAACCAAATTTCTCATTAATTGATGGAACAATTTTTCTTTTATCACTTCCAGTGTCACCGGAAACGATCCCAACTTTTGATTTTTGAATGGGGCACCCTGTATTGTTATCCATAATCGGTTAAGGATTATCATGACGAATTCAACGATATCGGGTTTGATAGGGTTATTATAAACGATTACAAAGATATTTGCGTTTGAAGTTTGGTATCGTTGAATTCGTTATGTCAATCTCTAACCAATGATTGAATACAATACAGGGTGTCCCATCTACAAATTGAAAGTTGATGTCGTTTCCAGTAAAAGGGGAAGTGATAGAAAAAAAATTGTTTCGTCAATCATTGAGCAATTCAGAATACTAGCTGTCCACCAATTTTCAGAACACTATCCCGGATAATTCAAAAGTTACAGTAACGGCCGTTTTTTGTGCTTTTCTCTGTATATATATATGAGTTATCCAAAAAAATATAGAGGATTGTCCATGGAAAACCGGAATTTTGATTTCGAATCAATAACTTGTCTACTGATGAACCGATTTTATTGATTATGGTTATCTTTGAGAGAAAACTAATCAAGAGATAGCTCTAATGAAAGTCAAAATTCTTTTTAATTTCAATCGATGGAATAATCAGAAATTCTATTCTATACTAGGTTCCTCATTATGTTCCATAATGGAAGGGAGAGACATTTATGTATCTGTCAAAATTTTAATTATTTCAGATTGATCGCTGAAAATTGGCTTATCTGTTCGAATATCAAGAAAGTTTTCAACTTAAAGTTGTTTATATATCAATTTCATACATGTGTTTCGAATTTGAATGTTTTATTGTAATTTTTTGTTCTTGATTTTTTTTTCTTCTAATCGCAAATTCGACAAAACTATCTCGAACTCTGGTTAGATACATGAAGTAGTTTGATGATATTTTGAGAGATGACTTCGGCACCGTTTTAGTACTGAAAAAATTAATTGAAATGAATCTTGCTTCTGGATGATAGACGTTATATCAACTTTGTATCAAACATAACAGAAATTTGACGCGGGGATTATTATTTTCTGAAGAAAATCATATTTTTGTCGATAATTAGTGATTGAAACTTAGTAGCATGATGAAGGTAGTAGGATGAAATAGTTTTGTTGGTGTTAATCTTCTTTTAATATTTCATCAGACATTTCGTAGAAATTAAAAAAATATCAAGAAATAAAAAATGTTATTACATGTTAAAATTCGCAACACATGTGTAAAATTGGAATAGAAACAACTTTTCTCAGTAATCTTCTCTGAAATTCGAACGAATAAGCCTACTTTTAGCAATTAATTTGGAAAAAAATCAACTTTTGACATGTAGCGAATGTCACGGGACCCCTATACCGAGTAGTAGGTATATATTTGTCGAAGGAAATCTCAACGCTCAAGTCGAATTTTGAAATATAGTAGTTTACCTAACAAGTGAAAAAAGTGATGCTTTTTCGCACGCGATTACAATTGGTCGAACGACGCTTAGCAGAGCTCGATCATCAATCGCAATTTGTTACTAACGTGAGACACAAACCCAAGAGTCAACATTGAGGCACATGTATTATTATCGAGTATTCGAATGTAAGTTTACTTCCCAAAAACTTAACAAACCTACTTTTCCACACTAAATGCGAAAAAAAGTTCATTTTGCAATAGTGCGGAAAAGTGACTCTGTCAACACTAAGAAGTGGACTTTTCCGCACGCTAGTAAAAAATAGTATATTATTTAACGAGCACAGAATGATAGTGATTTCCCACGGAAATGAGACGTTGGTGAATAAGGCAATAATTTGAGTAGAAAATTAGCATTCCATGCGAGTTATACACTATAATTTTACTACGGCTGGTAACAAATAACAGCGGCATTTCCGATTCCTTTGTGTTATAGCCTCGGTTATAGCCTCAGAAATAATTGGTATTGTAAGTGTTTTCCATTTATGCTGCCGACTTTATGAATGACAGTGTATATGAAAGTCAAGATCACTCTGTATATGAATGCTTTATAATAATTGTTCACTAATGAAACTTCAGTTTCGCGATTCGCAGTTTGTTTGTCTCGCACAAATAAAATATGCAGTGATTAAAAAGCATTCATAATATAACTGATATCACATTGATTGAATTACAAATTATATATACAACAGGAATTGACCAGACTCCGACCATTCATGTTTGATGGATCATTTTCTTTAATTGAATCTAAATTCTATCATTAGGATATCATGCACATTCTTCAACACGTATAATTTTCTTCAATAATTGAGATGTCTGGAAGTACAGATAGTAATATTTTTCTCAAAGTATATAGAATTATTTCCTAATTGCATGCAATTTCTCGGCATCATTTTATTCACTGTTGCTCGTCTGTAAACTAGATTCATTTTTCAGATAATCAAAGAGACGAACGACATAGAGAAATTGATCAATGAAACCATCAATAAGGAGAAGACAGACGAGCCCTTACGACTCCCAAAATCACTCAGTCCGCACTATTACAAACTTTGGCTGCACCCAATTCTCGACGAAGACAGCGAAACTAATTTTACTTTTACAGGACGAGTGTTGATAGATGTTAATTGTACAGAAAATACGGATACAATTGTTCTGCATTGGGATGATTTGAACATAACTGATTCTGATATTGAAGTCTACACCATGAAACAAGTAAGTTGAAAATACCAGACTTAACCCATATAATTATAGTACATTATACATCTAGGGAATGGAGAATTTTAAATCTCAAGACAAAAATGTTACAGCATCACCAGCAAGATTTAAAAACACTTCACTCCCGTGGTTTATATACTATTGCATGCACTTCGGGATAGGTAGAACGTAAAAGAAAGAATAGCGAAAAAAATTCAAATGTTACTAAACGGTAGTTATTCTATTTCTAAAACATTATCGAAGGTGCTGATTGTTACCATATCAACGACCTCAGTACCTATATATATGATGATCCAGATCGTGATTGCCATCGGCAACTGAAAATCTTGGTGTGTTATGACAAGTACCTAACTAAGTAAAACATAAATAAATAAGTATACACGCCACACCGATTGAAAGACGTTGATCGCGATGGAACAAACCGAAAAGGCAGCTCAAGAAGCTGAAGGCCAATTATTACTAAGAAAATCTGGAAAACAATATAAAAACAAGTGATTTGAGTTTATCAAATGGTGCAAACAACGGGAAGTAGAAAAATGCACAGACAAAAAAGTAAAGCATCATCATTGTGGAGCGTATATTTGATGATAGAAGCCACAATTGCAACAGACATTTCGAAAACACATTTCAAAATTCATCAGCATTTATTGCAGAGGAATTTACTTCGAATCCCTAGGGATTTGAACTAAATTTGAATCCTTACGCGTTTTAAAGTACCATTTTTCCCTAAAATAGGGAATTAAGGTACATTTTGAAGTACATAAAATATTTATCTCAGTAGAACGGCAACGATGAATGAGTAAAACTCCACAAACGATGAGATTTACACAAAATTCTTAATCACCCGACATGTTTCGCTAACACAATAGCTTCTTCAGGTGAAATACTAGTACAATAAACTGAACTCACATTGGCTTGCCAAACTTTCATACAGGGTGTCCGCTAAAAGGAGGTCAATCCATCAACCATATATTCCTTGAACAAAAACAATATGAGTTTGTAGATACCATTTTTCATTTTAGCCCTTCATATTCGATATACAGGGTGTCAAAGTTGGAAATTAAAAACTGTTTTTTTCTAATTACTCGCGTATTTAATAAGATATCAATCTCAAACTTGGTACATTACTTCAGCACAAAGAGTTACATCGTGTGAGGAGAACAAAACAAAAAATAACTGTCAAATATTCAAAATACTGGGGGTCAAGTACACACTTACCCCCATATTTTTTTTGTACGTGCGCTAATGACTTTCAATCTATTTTTCTCCAAGTATCCAATCCTTTTTGAGTATATTTTGTCTCTCGTAACACGTAAAAAAAATTCAAGTAGTAGGTATCTTTACGGTTTTATATGTTTTGGGGGGCACTGAATCCCAATCTGAAATTTTCAAACAAAATTTGCTGGAGCGTTCCAAGATATTTGCGAAAACCAGCTAATTTTTTTGCAGTTTTTTCAGTTTTTAGCCCGCATCTTGGAAACTATACATTTCATCGAAGAGACAACCCTAGAAAAAGTTCGAGTAGATGACATTTTCTTTATATAATAATTGTTTATGCTCATGAATGTAGGAGTCACAAGTGAGGAGCTAGAGCAAGTTGAAAATTGCCCAAATTTGCGTACCATGCATTAAATAACGTTCTTCGTCGGTTTTCCGCAGATAATTTATAATATACGTATCACTCAAGATCATATGCACACATTGATAGAGAATATCATTATAGAGCTCATGTGTTCGTAAATATGCGAGAAGGTGAAAGGCTGGTAGAGCGCCTGGACTTGAAAACGAATTTTGGTCGTAGTTGCCACAGTTCGATTAGACTAATTCATCTATGTTCATAGAAGCTCTAAAACTTATGAATAGATCATAGTTTTGTTTTTTCATTCTATGAAATAATTCTTCTTCAGGGTACCCATATCCTCTATCTGGTGGTCTGAAAGTAAAAATTAAACCCAATGCAAGTGGATATATGAAGGTGTTACCTATAAGTGATGTGATGGATGACACGTCGTCGACATTGGTATCGTCAAGTACCTGGTCGTTCATCAGATTACACTGCATGGTGTTGTTGCAATTTCCATAATAATTTGTACACATATTCGTTCGAAACAGATTGATGTTGTTGTTGATTGAGTTGCACCTGTAGATATACTCGCAAAAACTTCTTTCGACTTGCAGCTCGTTAGAGGAAAATTGGCAAAGTTTGATGCCGACTCTAATGTTTTGAACACCTTTCATAACATATCAGTCAATAGGTTATTCCTGAAGTGAAAATAAGACTGTCGAAATCATGTCTCCAGTCTTCTTGAGGTGCTCCAAATTTGCCTCAGAGTCACTGAATACTCTGAGTAGGTATTTTACGCCAGGGTGCTTGTTAAGCGTCTTCAGAGAACATGCGCGAAGGATATGTGCTAGATCAGGTGCTGGTGCTGCTTGGATAGTAAAGCTTGTTGGGTACTATCACTCTTTTAGATTCAGAAAAATATTCGTTGGACGGTTCCTGTAAACCAACTAAGGGACAAGCAGGTCGTCATCCTCAGCTACAACAGTTATACCCTCTCTTTATTATCTGCCAATTAAATGACAGTTGTGACTACAAGACGACCCACGTGATTTTATGCTCTGTAGGATTCCATACCTACTGCAATGATTCTTTCATCATCAGCAGATTGATAGGATGGCTTCTGTTATGGTAATTTGACAGGAAGTAGTCTTGGGAGGCTGATCGGAACATAGCTGCAGAGGGTTGCTTCCACAGTAAATTTCACATGGCCAGGACTCTTCCACATCAGGCAGTATAATTTGTTTCTTCGAGACAATCGTACATTATGAACTATCTGTGAAAATTGACGGAGGGGGCTATTTTATGCGAAGTACGCAAATATGGTTGATTTTCAACTTGCTCTAGCTCCTCTTCCATTAGTCCTAGATTCATGAGCCAGAGCAATTTTATTCATGAAATTCCGACTACATAATTTTTTATGAATTGATCTTCTTGAGAAAATGAAGAGTTTCCGAGTTACGAGCAGAAAACTGAAGAAAGTGCGAAAATTTCGCTGTTTTTCGGTTGTTTGCAAACTTCAGATTCGGATTCAGTACCTCAAAAAAACATACATAATTGTAGGGGAATCAAGTATTCAGATTTTCTCGCCGTGGAAATACTATTTTATTGGACTAATTATGCATTTTTTATTTACGAACGAATTATTGAATTCATTGTTTTGGTACAATGCTGGTACATTGCCATAAGAGAATTCAAACAGAACGAAAGAAGAATTGCAAAATGTCACATCATTCAAGGATCTCATTTCTATTGCAGGGAAGTTCAAGAGACTGCATTTAAATAATCAGATACAAAATAAACACAAACTACCGCATTTTAATTTTAAAAGCCCAAATTGACACTGAATTTCAGAATTCACTACATGACCATTTGATGAAAAATGTGACAATTTAGAATTTTTCAAATAATCTCCAATATGAGGGGTTGGGTTGAATACCTTGTATTGATATAAAATGAAGAATATAGTTGAGGACAGTTGAAATATCGAATTTATGAAATGAGAATTTTTTCACCAGAAATCTGTTGGAAATAATTATTTTTGTTTGGATGATTATAACTCGTTGAATACACAGGATGATTGTTATCATTACAAAAAAGTAACACAACAAAAATCAACAGGTTGTTATAATTCAATATACAGGGTGATTCAAAATTATATGTAGCAATTTTGAAAACGTATTGTTGAGATCAAATGAGACTTTTTTTCAGATAAACATGTGTTCTAAAATACATCACCCTCTCGACGCTACAGACACTGTGTAAACCCCCCTTCCAACTCAACTGGAATTCAGTTGACATGATTTTGAAGAAAAAAATTAATTGAGCGTCACGATAAACGAGACAATATCAATTTCCAGAAGATTTGATCCGTTATTAATTATTATTGTCATCACAATTTTGAATAATTGGTTTTTTACATAACTTACAGTGGACGGAGTCCGTATATTTCAGAACATTAGCTTGACATATCTACATTGTATTTTGAATCAACCTGTATATGACAAACTGCCAAAGGCTATAGTACACAAGCGTAGATCAAATCTCGAACGTATGACAAAAGTGCGCATGGAGTACCTACCACATTTGGAAGTGAAAAACGCAAGCCTGCTTAAGGTATTTTTGACTTTGACATCGACATCAAGTTCTAGTAACGCCAACTGGTGAGACTGAAAATATTGTCCCTCATTTATTGATACAGAATAAACAACGATACAATTTTCAATTAACCTATCGGATATTCCAATATACATCTTTTTCAACAACAATTTCCACATTTTGCATCAATACTTGACTCTATCGATAGTTTGATAGTTGCAGCGACCTCTACCAAGAATATATTTTTCACACAAAATTGTTCTAGAAATTTATTTTCCTACTATAAAACGTGATACAGGTAAGCAAAAAAATTACTTTTCAAAAGACTCAGAAGACATGTAGGTGGCGCCACCCCCACGAAAGAGACAAACCAACAATACATTCGTTAGTTTCATTGAAAAATACCCCTAGTTACTAAACTCCATTCAAATATCACAATCATTTCGAAATTTACTACCAAAAAACAAAAATAATAATTCATCTTTGACACTCTGTATCTCAGAAACGAAGAACTTTTGGAGATATATTTATATGAACTTTTTTTTTATTTTGACGTCAGCAATATGCTCCTCAATTTTCTACACGTACTTGAGAAACACCCTGTATATCCATTTTTTTCATATTCATGATATATCTCGGAAGATACCTTTTCAATATAGAATATTTTTTAACGAGCACGGAGAACAGAATGATTGTCATTTTCCAAGAGGATGAAGTGGGATAATATCAGCATTTTGTGAGAGTTATTCAATCCACTTGTTCTACAACTGTAACAGAAAAGAAAATCCCACAACTGTCAAAAAAATATAAACATATAATGTATGCCTGAAGTGTACAATTTTTCAATATCAAATTACTGTTTCATTAATTTATGGAAAGGTGAGGAAAAATAAACTTTTTCGGGAACGGGGCTCATACCTAGCGTTGTTGGTAGGCTGTTTCGTTCGACGAACAGGTCTGTTCGAACATACTTGTTCGACGAACAAAACAGCTTCGACGAACAAAACAGCCCACCAACAACGCAGTCTGTGGGCTCCTTCACGAGATTCAGCAAGGCAGCAAGCGAACAAATCAAGGCGGCTGACTTCGTATTCCCTATAGAGTGCCAGTGAAATAGAGATGGGAGCGAGAAAAAGGCGCCACGATATCCTCGCGTATCAGATAATAATATGCTCGCATTTCATTTATGATTTGATCAGCTTCGCAGAACGCGAGCGGGATAGCTATGTTGATAGATGACTTTGTTTTGTTGCTTGATCAAGTTATCAATCGAAACCGAAAGCAGGCAAATAATATTTTTTTGGAAATGGTTATTTTTTTAATGAGATTACTTCTACACCACTAAAAATACTAGAGAGAGCTAAAATCAGTAAAGTTGTTGAGATATGGAATACGGCTTCATTTCAGTTGAAATTGAGGAAAATGGTGCGTTATGCAATTTACCAATAATCAAATAAAATAATTGCAATTTTCACCTTTTCATGCGAAAGCTCAAAGTCTCAGGAGACGTATTCAATAATTGTGCCTGAACACAATATCTGTAGCATCCTAAAGGAAGTATAGTGTAGTCGTAGAGAAAGTAGTACATTTCTCGAGTTGTAAAGGAATTACGCACTTGTGGAATCACACACTCGCCGCTACGTGGCTACACTTCGTGCGTTTTATGCGTTTTACAACTCTTGATATGTAATATACTAGTATGTACAGGGTGGTCCAAATTGGACCCTTTAGAAGGGAAAGTCCTATTCTCGAACCAGATGGAAGAAAACTGATGTCGGTGCCTAATGGTCGATTCCCATGAAAAACTTTATGGTGAAATCCGTATATTGATATATGTCTTCGTTTCGGAGTTACAAGGTGTTTATAGAAAATGGGCAACTTTGAAAAATGGCTACAGATATTTTTTCGGCAAAAGTTGGCAGTTGTTATGAAAATAACTGCAAAGCATTGGGTTTGTGATGAAAATTGTCCTCAACGCACTGAAATCGGCCTACCTATATGTAAACTACGAAATATCCACAATGCTCAGTGGAATTAAATGTTAAATGAATACAAAAAGCTCAAAATCATTTTCACACAATGTTCATGAAATAAACAACAATAGTAGATTTCGGGAGAAGAACAACTACTGAAATCACGCAGGACATTGAATTACATCCTCCCGAAATCTATGCATCGACTCGTATAAACGAATACTGATACAAGTGATTTTTTCCTGAATGATTTGGACCTATATAAGTGTATTCCTGAATAACATAGCTTTCAATTAATTGTTCTTTATTTATTGTTATAAAACTATTAACCGACAGCGGTGATCATGTTATCCGAAACAAAATATATGTTAATTCACTGTGATTTGGGAGTAATTCAAGGCTTTTCATTCAAGGATCACACAATTTCACATCCTGTTAGATGACAACAACCATTGTATGAATGATAGCAAAAGATATGATGGGCATTCATTATCTAGAGCCAAATGAATGCCATTGGAATTAATCAAAATAAATATTGAATTTTCAGGTGGAATTGAGTTCGGATTCATTGAAACTTGACCAGAATGCTGGCCTTCATAATATTTCCCAGAGGGACGTACCATCAGATCAGAATGACACGATTGCTAACACATTGAAGACCACTTCGGAAAGTGCTCCAACATTCTTCGACGATGCTGATAACACCACCTCTACTGATGAAACAGCTACAGAGGAATCACCATCAGAAACACCCCAGATTCGTGAATCGTCAACTGAAAAAATAGTAATAGAAACTAAACGAGCTACTTTAGGAATCAACAGCATCATAAGAGACGATAAAAATACAAAATTGAAACTTAAGATGGCTGAGTTTTTACAATCTGGAAGACAGTATTTCATCGACATTAAATTTTCTGGACAAATCTTGCAAAATCTGATAGGACTTTATAAAACTAGTTACAAGGACATGTTTGGGAACAGAAAGTAATGTTTATAGATTTTATAATATGAGTTAATGATTGAATATTTTTTGTAGATGGTTAGCAACAACTCACTTTCAACCAGTTTATGCAAGAAGAGTTTTTCCCTGCTTCGACGAACCGAATTTCAAGGCACAATTCGAAATTATTGTCGCAAGACGGACTAATTTAACGGTTCTATCAAATATGCCATTGAGAGAATCAGAGCCTATGTGAGTAAACGGTATATTTAGAGTACTAAAACTTGATCAAATGGGCAAATTAATGACATTTTCCAACTACTACTCCTTGGACGCACCAACATGTAGTATGCTATCTTCGATCTGAAAATATTTATTTACAAAAAAGTGAAGATTTTAGATCGAAAACACATTATTGAAATGAACTTCAGGAGATACTAATTCGATTGATTGGAGAAAAAATACGGATTCATCGTGTCATTATGAACAGATTCAGAAATATTCCACTTGTAATAATTTAACCTATGTGGTATTCGATAAGAACATTTTACAACACATTGTGTTTGAAAATGCATTTATTGAGTATAGAATTCTTTCATTTATTTGATCTTTTTTTAAAAATTCAGTTTGGGTGCCTATAATAGATTCCTAGCTTACAGAATCCTGATTTCTAGCATTTCTACCTATTGTAGTTGCATAAAAATACCAGTTCAGGATATACCATAATAAGTATTATACAGAGAATTGCCCAAAAAACGGCCAGGATTGTAACTTTTGATAGATAGGGTGTTGAAAATTGGTGGGTAGCAAGTATACCAACTTCCTCATTAATCGATGAAACAGTTTCTCTTCTATCACTTCCAGTTTAATCGGAAACGACCCCAACTTCTGATTTTCAAATGGGACACCCTGTATTGTATTCCATAATTGGTTAGGGTTTATCATGACGAATTCAACGATACTGGGTTTGATAGGGTTATTTCAAACGATTACAAAGATATTTGCGTTCGAAATTTCCATATGCTCAAAGGGTGTGGCTTCGCAATATCAATAGTTCTTTCTCTGTCACACTCATTAGCATATAGCATATAAAAACTTAGAACGCGAATACCTGCGTAATCGTTTGAAAAAACCCTATCAAACCCGGTATCGATGAATTCGATTTGGCAATCCCTAACCGATTATGGAATACAATACAGGGTGTCCTATTTAAAAATCCAAAGTTGGGGTCGTTTTCAGTAAAACCGGAAGTGTTTGAACAAAAATTGTTTCGTCAATTAATGAGCAATTTGGTACACTAGCTACTCAGCAATTTTCGAAACCCAATCTCGAATATCTGAAAGTTACAGTCCTGGCCGTTTTCTATGCACTTTCTGTATATTCTTCCATTTCATATCACCTTCGGGTTTGGTAGAGAATTATAGTTTTATCAATCAATTTTTCAGAAGTAGGTACAGGGTGATTCATCATAAATGTCCCTCCCTCTAGCTCACTTATTTTTGAACCGATTTGAAAATTTGAAAAATAATCTGAATTGATTTTTCAGAGATTTTTTTCTCGTTGCAACAGAAAATACAGGGTGCTCGGAACAACCGATCTACAGAGTACTACTTGATTTTTTCAATCGGAACACCCTGTTTTTCATTTTATTTTTAGATCCTTCCTGAAGAGCTGATTTCATCAATGTATCACACTTGGGGTATAGCAGGAATGATTACAGAGATATAGGGTGTTCAAAATCGATATTTTTCAACTTTAGGATTTTTTTGTGTCGAAACTATTTATTATTGGTCAAAACGGCTTTTATGTCCCCATCCCAACTTTTGATTTACTATCTACTGACATTAAATTGGGACATTTACAGGGTGGTTCAAGATTCAAAATTCTGATCACCCTTTATCTGTTCTAATCATTGAACGTCAGTAGATAAATAAATGTAGTGAATCTACAGCTAAATTACGGACATGAGAGCCGTTTTGAGCGATAATGAATAGTTTCGTCACAAAAAAGCCTAAAGTTGAAAATTGTCGATTTTGTCTTTAATCATTCCCGCTAGACCCCAAGTGTGATGCATTGATCAAATCAGCTCTTCAAGGAGAATCTGAAGATACAATGAAAAATAGGGTGTTCCATTTAAAAAAATCGAATAGTACCCTGTAGATCGTTTGTTTCGAGCACCCTGTATTTTCTGATGTAGCGGAAAAAACTTTATCGAGAATCATTTAAGATGATATTTCAAATTTTGAAATCGGTTCAAAAATAACCGAGCTAGAGGGGGGGACATTTATGGTGAATCACCCTGTACATACTGTAAAAAACTGTCTCGAATATCTCATTACACGCCCATTAAAGAGTGTCACCACTGACACTTCTGAATTGTCATCATTCCCAGATTTGAAACGTCAATTCTGGAAATTTAATAGGCGTCCTGCCAGAATATGTCCTAATATTTAATATAATATAACATAATATTACTACACCTTTTCCAATAGTAATTCAGAAAGCCTCGAATGCAATTTAGAAAATATCATTTGTAATTCAGATCAGTTAATTGAAATTCAGAAAATATCGAATGTTTTTCAGAATTGTCAATTGATATTCAGAATGCGTCATTTGTAATTCAGATTAATCAACTGTAATTCAGAAACCGTCAGTTAGAATTCAGGAAGCGTCAATTGAAATTCAGAAAGCGTCATTTATAATTCAGAATGTATTATTTGTAATTCAGAATGGGTCGATTGTAATTCAGACTATGTCATTTGTAATTTCGAATAGTTGATTGAAATTGAGAAAGCATCTTTTGTTATTCAGATTATAGTCAATTGAAATTCAGGAAATATCAATTGTAATTCAGAAAACTTTATTTGAAATTCAGATATATGGAACAGTATTATGTACCTCTGCATGCATACCTACCTACAATCCATCATCATCAAAAGTACTGTATATATCCTATTGTCCTGAAAACGAATATTCTAACTTCAAATAATTATACAGAATCTCATAGAATGAACTTCAAAGACAACTGTATGATTTGTCGTATTCCAATGACTCGATATGCAGTTACAAGATTGCAGTCATGTAATCACTTTGTGCATACGAGGTGTGCTTTACCACTTCAGAATGAGCCAGATAATCTCAGACTGGAGCCAGAGCTGTACAACAGATACCGGAAGAGATGGAAAGAAGGAGAGGATCTTTCAAGACCGAAACTGCAAATGCTTGGGTAGCATCTACTACAACAATGGCACGAACTAGGAAACCAGCTTGCGGACTTGGTCATAGTGTGTGACAATGCTCCTTGTCATTCCCGACTGGAGAACGTTGTGAATGAAACGACTGCACATCTTTTGAGATTGACTCCATATTCTCCAGTGCTGAAACCTATTGAAACCATCTGGTCTGAAATTAAGACATACGTTAAAGTGGGTCTTCGTACTCCCCAGGTTGGCGGCCCTGGTGTCATTGAACAATGACTTTAGTTCCTCGGAAGAATAATTGACCAGGCAAAACAGACAATTGTTGGAGGAGACTGTGCTCGAGCAGCACAGCATACCACGATTCACCAGGCTGCTGCTTTGACTTCATAAAATATATATGCCCGTAGGTCGCTGAATGATGGATATTTTTATTTTTACCTGCTATGTCTCAATTCAATTCCAATATTGTTCGTTTTCATACATTACTCGCTTATAATTATTGTATTATGAATGAGTAATAAAAACAAACTTGTGTTGTTGTATCCCACATAATAAAATTACTGATGATTAGATTTCGAGGTGAACAACAACTGCTATCTGAATTGACTAATCTGAATTACAATTGACGATATCTGAATTTCTATTGATGCTTTCTGAATGTCATTTGACAAATCTGAATTACAATTATTGATTTTTTTTGAATTTCAAGTAACTTATCTGAATTACAAATGACGTAGTCTGAATTATAATTGACGCATTCTGAAATACAAATGACGATATCTGAATTTCAATTGGCGCATTCTAAATTTCAATTGAAAAATCTGAATGACAACTGATATTTTCTAAATTTCAGTTGACTAATCAGAATTACAATTGATATTTTCGGAATTCCAATTGACTAATCTGAATAACAACTGACGATTTTTGAATTTCATTTGAGAAATCTGAATTACAATTGACGCTTTCTGAAATACATCTGGAAAAGGTGTAGTCCGATAACGGCCGGATCGAGATTTTTTTTGAGTTGAGGGCAATTACCCCCATCCCCTCCACCCCTTGTATACGAGCTTGTTAATGGTTATTCGACCTTACAGGAACGGCACTGCCGATTGGGTGTGGGACCACTTTGAAACCACCCCGCCCATGTCTACGTACATCGTCGCTTTCACCATCGGTGACCTGAAGAGCGTCTCCTCCAACAGCTCGGCCGCAGGTAATACAGGATAATAGTACCCAGAAGGGCCCCTAGGGGGCAAATTGTGGGCTAGTTTCAATTTCTTTCATTCAACATTTCATGACGCAACATTGAAAAAAAAAACAAAATTCGGTGAAAAATTTCGTCGGTGCTAGGAAAAAACTTTTTGAAAAAATTCATCTCATGTTCATGAATGCGCTGATTAAACGTACGACCTGTCTGACCGATATATACCTTAGGACAGTTGAGTTTGTATACCCCTGATTTTTCGTATTCGAAAGTTTCGTCTTCATTATTCTTGATAAACCTTCCCAAGGTGTTATTTGTTCTGTTTATGTAGAAATGAATTCCCGAAAATGGAGGTGTATCGAACCTGTCCACAGGTAAAACTAATCCTTCAGGTTGGGAAAGTAGGATTTATAAGCAAGCCAACCCAGCGAGCACAAAAGCATCTCAGAGATGTTAAAAGTACGAGATTTCGAGACATTGAACCTCCACTGCGATGTTCTGTTCACACATGAATAGAACTATTATAGAACAGCCAATGCAGGCGGCAATTATCGAAATGTCCTTGATATGTCAAAAACTTCCTTCTCCCTAGTTCTTTTTTAAGCCTTTTCATGGACACAACAAAACATTTTCAACGCGTCTTGCGCACATTGAATCGCTGTAAAAAAACATTTTCGAGGTACTTTTCTGAAGCCTTTTGTCAAAATGAACCTGTTCATTAGGATTCCATTTCCCTTGAATGAAAAAATGCATTAAAAATAGATTGAACATAAAAATATTTTTTAGATATGAAATTACCTTCCTGAGTAGTGCTTACTACACACAGACATATAATTGGGAATAGGTTTCCCAATTTTTCAAATGTTCTCCACAATGCATAATTTTGCAACTGCGGAGAAGCTGTGTATTGATGAATTCGTACTTTTATATATTGATTACACTGAGGCACCGAACAACACATCTTGCATCTGATGGTCATTATTACAAACTAAATAAGCCCTCTAACACAATAAACTTCACCAAATTTCTTTCTGTTCGTTAGCAGCGTGATGTGAGCGTGACACGCTGCAAACGCGAAGGCCAATTGCGAACAGGAAGAACAAAATCGAAAACAAATCAGAATTCATCGTATTGTGACGTAAGCATGAGACCTCTATGGGAAGTGCATATTACGCCCCAAAAAAACATCCTCATGCCTACATTTCTAAAACATCCCAAAACATCCCAGGGATACCTCTAAGTAGGCAAACAAAGAAATACCACAGAAGAACATAAACAATACTTCAATATCCTTCAAAGACCTCTTTGGTCAGTGCATATTACGTCCCAAAATAACATCATCATGCCAATATTTTCAAAACATCCCAAAACATCCCAGGAATGTTTGTGCTCGCTGGGAAGGTTAGTTCAGTTCATCGTACCAGTATGTCACCTGACGAAGCTACTGTATTAGCGAAACATGTCGAGTGTTTGAGAATTTTGTGAAAATCTTATCGTTTGTGAAGTTTGTACATTAACTTTTGACTGGATTAAGGGCCGCTGATCCAGGTGTGGGCGCCCGAGAGCGACCTGCCGCAGGCCGAGTACGCGCTGCAGGTGGCGCAGGAGGTGCTGCCCTTCATGGAGGAGTACTTCGACGTGAAGTACCCGCTGCCGAAGCTGGATATGGTGGCCGTGCCAAATTTCGGGAAGGCTGCCATGGAGAACTGGGGCATCATTTCCTTCAGGTAAATAAACAGAGGATTCTGCTGACCCTATAGTTCATGATAGGGAATACCCATTTTTAATGTTTGAAGAAGAAGAACATAGGTGCGTGGAGTTGAATTCGAGACCATATCATGTCGTTTTTTCTTGCTCGTAGAACCAAGTCAAACATAGTAGGTTTTGTTGAGCATACCATTAGGAATATTAAATTGTATTCTAAGACATTTTTTGTAGTCCAGCTGGAACTTTTCGAACTAGAAAAAACTCCAGAAGATTTACTTCAAATTATAAATGTGTTGTTCTTTGTTCCCGCCGCCATATCTTCATAATTAATGAAGGTATCGAAACGCTTCTTTTTATATTAAGGTAAACACAGTAGCGCTTTCAACAGTGCCATTGGAATGTGCAAAATTCATCATTTCGATTTGGTTGAAATCAGTAGAACATATAATTCAAATTATTTGTGCTACTATTTGTACCGATCAATAAACTTCATTATTTTTGAAAATCTGTGTACACATTTTTTTTTGTCGAGGTGGTCTAAATCCTTTATGAACACCATATGGGTGCTATCCCTCATTAGTGTGGGACTCCCCTGACTCTAGCCAAGGTTTACCCACTAAAAACTCCACCCCGTTTTTAGGCTCGTCTGACCATGTCTCCGACGACACATAGGCCTATGGTGGCCCATTGTATCTTACCTAATGTTCTTCATTGTGCCCACTCCATTATCTCTGTACCTTGAACAAGTCTGTAAAAATCCTTCACTGGATGTGAGTTGAATATTTCTGGTTCGCCAAGTGGTTGCTCAAAGATCTTCTGTCTTCTGCGGTCCAATGCCTCACATCGGCACACTATATGTGCTACTGTTTCTGGTTCCTTGCCACATAGTCTGCAGCTTATTGGGTCGCTATTGTACAGTCCCTTTCTGGCGAGATGCTCCTTTACTGGCGCATGGCCAGTCATGAGTCCCGTAACAGTTTTTATCTGTGCTCTGTTCAAGTTGAGCAGGTCCACAGTTCGTTTATGACTTGGTTCCTTAATGCATTATTGCCCATGTCTGTTTCTTAAGATGTTTTCCCAGTAGCTCCTATGTTTTTCCTGAATCCAGTCTTTAACTGACACTCGTGCTGTACGTTTTGGTACTCCAAGAGTCTGTCCTGGATCTGGCTCGTTGTCCGACCCTCTTCTTGCAAGTTCGTCAGCCTTCTCATTGCCAGCGATCCCCTGGTGACCTGGCACCCAGATTAGCTTGACGCAGTTCCGGTCTGCCAGAGTTCTCAGTTTCCTCTTGCAATCCCATACCAGTCGAGATGTCACTTCCTGGCTTTCTATTGCCTTAAGTGCCGCTTGACTGTCTGACATAATACGGATCTGCTCGTTTTCCACAGCTCTCCTGTTATTCTCTTCCGCACATTGGAGAATTGCGTACACCTCTGCTTGGAAAACTGAAGCGTACTTCCCCAATGAGTAGCTGAGGCTAGTTTCCGGATGTTTGGAGTTTACTCCTGCTCCTGACCCATTCGCAGTCTTGGACCCGTCTGTATACCAGATCTTTCCCTGCAGTATGGTGCTGAGTTCCCCGTCATTCCATTCAGATCTGTCTGGTATGGACACTCTGAATGAAGTGTCAAATATATATCGTTTCGAAATGTGATCTGTTCTCATATTGAGTATGTCCCTGTTCACTATTCTGACGATGCTCATAGGTCCTGTTCCTATGTTAACATTGCCCAGTGTATTTTGCAGTCTTAGGGCACCAAGTCTCGCCTCTCCCTGTACCATCAAGTGGAGGGGAGGCAGATCCAGTAGTGTTTCCATATAGCGAAACAAATCAAGCCTATATATGATTGAAGTTTTTGAATTATAGTTATTTATTATACAAGGGAAAAAAGTTGTAGATTTTAGGTCCAGGTTGTGTTGTGTGAGACAAAAAACCGTGAGCTAAAATCTAATATTTTTCCCGTGTATAATACACAATTTTTTTCTGTGACAGAAGAGAAGACGAATCAATATTGAGAAGATATTACATTATTTTGAAATCTGAAAATTATCGACGTGAAATTTTAAGTTTTTAACAGTAGGGACACCTGCGTTGTAGGCATCTTTATCATTCTTTTGAAGTAATCAAATATCTGATGTCACTTCTGTCAGTCTAATTCTATGATTTGATTTCAAAAAATTGCGAATTTATTGCTTGTTCAGTAATATACGTAACCGCGAAGTCGAGTGGAAGATAAAAGGACTTGCAGTTATTTCTCGGAGACGGTATTATTGACTCATTTTTCGGAACTACCTATAGCACAACAAAAGCCATCAACAGTGTTTATATATGTGATATATATCCGGGAAAAAAGTACTCACTTTTTTCCCACGGTAAAAAAGTAATTTATGAAAAGTGACATTTTATAACCTGCCAACAGAGATGAAATGCCAAACTTTTTTCCCGTCACAGAAAAAAATAGTTTTTTCCTAGTTTGTATAGTTTGCGCGAGAGTCATCTTTTTCATAGCCCGCTCCAATATATTATATATCGGCACACGTTTAGCAGAGAAATGGAAACGAGGTTGAAATAGTTTGTATATACGCACTCAAAATCTGATTTCATTGTTTCAAGAAGTATGTTTGTTTGTGCTTGCTCTACCTGCTGAACTTGCTTTTTTTCTATGATTTTCTCAATTAACATCATGCCATGAACAGAGATAAATATGGAAAAAAAAACTTCAGCAAGTTCAGCAATACAAACGAACCGGTATAAATTCTTTGGGATAATGAATTCTATTATTCGTGAGAAAATTATATATACTGTGTGTCGGTATAGTATGGAATAAATTCGATATTTCCTTTACTGAAAGCCTTCTCAAGAAAATCGTTAATATGTCAATTTCTTATTTCAATATTTTACATTTTAGAACAATATTTTATTGAACAGAGGGATATTCCAGTTTTCAAAAGGTATAATACTTGGGGTCTAGCGGACAGGATTTGAATGATATGCATTTGGAAAATGCCATATTTCTATGAATTGCAAAAAGTAGCCTTCTAGTTTTCAATGGAATCTCTCATCATTTTCATTGACAGTTGATGAGTATGATGTTGTGGAATTAGTTCGTGAATATTTTGTATTGTTGCTTTGAAATAATTTGAAGTAGAAATGAACTCAAATATAAAGCCAATAGGTAAAATTCTTATTGGGGCATAGAGACAGATTGCCAACGCATGGTAGATCAGATAGATCGGAAAATGTCACAAAATATGTGGAACATTGTGAAAAAACGACGAGTTTAAGATTTTTTCGAACCAGATTCTCATTCAGGAGATATTGAATTTATTCCATACTCCACGTACAATCTGTATATGACACAAAACGCTGGTGAGTACCAAAATGACAATGAAATATTATTGATAGCCGGAAAATATCAAAATCACCTAGATGAAATGTCTCTTATGTCTAAGAAGGCGTATACGCCAGAGGCAAGTTAATAGTTGATCCTCCACAAATTCTGCACCACTGGCGAAATCGTTATTTCACGACAAATTTTTGATTATCCAATACTTCATACGTGAATATCGTACTCTTCTTTCATTGCGAATAATAAAGTCATTATTCTTCGAGATATTCAAAGTTGAACATGAGATACCAAACCCTACAAGCGGACAAGCTACTTTGATAGGAACCGTATTCAAATCCGAATTGATGAAAGAACAAGCAATCCGAGGCCGGAGCATCTATTTTATTCTTCTCCAAGCCCTTCGTTCTCCCCAACTTACTGCGTTCTCTTCAATGGTAGACTAAACATGGTATATTATATAAGTGGTCTCCATCACGATCAACGCATGAACAGTTATATCAACAGTTGTTATATCAACTCAGCAGTTTCTTTCCAATGAAATCTTGAAGAGCCGACATACATATAAAAGTTGATATTCCAATAATGGTATATATGAAACATTTATAGAATTCAGCCATTGGTCGACAAAATTGAGAATTCACAATGCTTTCTGACCAAATAGCAAATGTTATGTCGTGTTGTGAGTATAAATTTCGACCTCTGACCGAATTCGACAAGTGGGTATAGTCCATCCAAATTCAGCAGGTGGAGCACCTCGAGCAAGGAATGTCCACCACGTGCACGAACTTCAAAGGAACTTCAAACGAGCCGACACCGCACGGCGTATGTTTTTCGCTCGAGGCGCTCCAGATGACTTTCAATAGACTATGTAACTTTATGTTTATATTCAAAAAAAGAATAAATAATCAAATCTAATCTATCACTCTTTATTTTTATAGGAAATCTTCGATTCTCTTCGACCCCAATTCGAGGAGTATCAAGACAAGGAGTTTCATTCTAGCTACGATAGCGCATGAAATCGCCCACCAATGGTTCGGCAACTTGGTTACGATGGAATGGTGGTCGGATTTGTGGCTGTATGAAGGTTTCGGCACGTTCATGGCTGAAGTTGCCATCACAAGTGTAATTATACTTTAATGAAACCTTTGAACAATATTCAATTTCTATAATGAGGGCTAACATTATTCATTGTCCACCAGACCGCGCTACTGAATCGTTAGCTCAGAGTTGGTAAAACTGATAATATACTTCTTCCTCTGTCATTTTGCCTCTCTTTACGATATCTTCTCCGTCAATGTGAGAATTAGTGGTACCACATTGAGAGTAAAAAACCGAAAGTCTGCTCAAGTCTTTCCATAACTTGGGGTTTTTATATTTGTTACAATAGTCTATACAATTTGACATTGAACTCACGATTCAGTAACGCCAAATGGTGAGACTGAAAATATCATCTCCGATTCCTGTTAGAGTAGAAGATTTGCTAGGATTATTAAATAAGTAATTCACGTTTATTTTTTCATGGAGTGGAAGGAGAGAAGATGTAACGAATATTAGTAGGACTCAGTTCTTTGTCTGGACGTTTTTGGAACAGTGACATTTTTATTTTCAATATAATAGAGCGAATCTACTGCTCACATGGAATCGACCAAGAATATACACTGTAACCCAATTCAGTTCAGCTCAAGTTTTAGTATGCGATGGGTGATTGTTTATATTTTACTCAATAATACTTAGTATTAATATTGGTCTCACAAAAAATCAAGTATTTTTATAGTCATTTCGTGTTTTTCCTCTACGCAATAATCAATTTCAATTGAAATACTGACAGAGATGTAAAAAAATGCCTGTTTTGTTTCCATGGCATACCTGTTGTGCCCAGTGAATAGAAAAAGAAAATATACGAAGTGTTTCATTAAAAATACTGTTTTGGGCTCTGTTCGTTTAAGGAGTGCCAAAAGACAGTACAGATGGAATCCTACAACTTTCATAACTTCCACCTCGTATATACGACTACTTGAAGCAGAAAGTGGTCAGAATATGAATGTTGAAACAGTTTCTCATGCGAATTTTGAATTTTTGACTACTTATTCTCACTTCTTGCTGTATCATGAAAGCTGTTCAACGAAAAAATGTCTAGAGGTTTTTTCGAACAATCTTTCGAATTTTAATTTTCGAATCAAAAATGTATTCTCTGAAACCTTAAGGAAGGAAACTATACGCCAAAAATTGATTTCCCGAGCCATTTTCCCAACATGGTGGCATGAGTATGGCGATCGCAAATCTGATTTATACACAGAACCACCACGTCTACGATCCTGCCAATCTCAATCTCTCCCTAACCCTTTGTTACATAATATCTCCACAGATTGATTTACTTAAGGATACAAGGAATTATTCAGTGAAGTTTCACCATCAAGAAAGTTGAAATGATTATATTGAAAACATTCAATTCTTTTCCTATGTAGGTTTGAATATCTACCTAGGAATAACTATCTGAATTTTCAAAGGTATAACCACAAATTTCACTGACACTTTTTTGATGGCAAAATGAAACTACATTCTCATTAGCTGAGATTCTAGCAAGTTGAATCATTTTCATAGTGTGTAGCTGAATCAAATCAACATCATAATTCTATCATGTCATAATGTCGAAATTTGTGATTATCCTTACTATATTGAATGGTGCACAAATAATTAATATAAATGAATGAATTTGAGATGTGATCCTTTGAAGGAACTCCAGTTTGTTAAAAAGAGCAGAATTATCTCGAATGGAATTATAGAGGATTAATGTACCTGTGATCACATTTTGAAATGCTGTTTTTTCAGTTGAGACCAAAGTGGCACGCCTACAGTAGCGTCAAAATCCGGGACACATACAACACCTTGTATTTTGACAGTCTGAAGTCGACACGCAGTATTCAATCCGAGGTTACGAATAATGCACAGATCGAGCAAATCTTCGACAGCATCATTTACCAGAAGGGCAGCAGCATCCTCAAAATGTTGAATTCCACTGTGTCTCAAGAAGTCTTCAGGAAAGGGCTAACACATTTTTTGAAAAAATAGTGAGTATATACAGTCTGTCCAAGATAAGGTTGAACAGCATGGGGATCTCGGAAACGGTAGGAGATACGAAGTCGCTTAAATGGGGAAAAAGTTGCGCATTTGGAGGCTCATATCAAGGGCCTTCGGAAATTTTGAAAATTATTTTTAGTTTTTGAGTTATATCGAAAAAAGTGAATTTTTGGAATTTCTATTTTATTTTTTTTCTCCGTTATTATCAGAGATACAGAAAAACTGAAAATACTTTTTCATTTCAACTTTTGATGAGGTTTAACGTGGTGATACCGATTTTTTTATGCGACTTTTCGTATTCGTGGAACCATCATCAACTTTTGTTTTTTAAATACGGTCCTGATAATTTTTTCACAGATATTGAAAGGTTTTTTTATTTTGAATTCAACAATGTACTATACAAGGTGATTCGAATGTGTTTCGACATATTTCTATCCATCATCAATGTTTTTTCGAACTTCCAAAAGAAAAAAGCCATCAGTTCCACTTATTTCTGATCATTTAGTGTCAAACTTGATGGATTAGTTATTCAATACTGAAAAGTGAATAAAAAATATTTCACTACATCATTCGATCAATGCAGCGTTTGAAATTGTTGATGAATTCTTACACGAATTACTTTAACAACTTAACTTTGACAATACCTACAGAGACATTCATAACAAATGTTCAAAATGATAACCATTATTTTCTGAACAAAGATATCCTCTTCTCACAGTTGCTTCTAAGACATTGCTAAGCATTTCTGGGGTTATTCTATTGAATGCTTCGAAGACACTGTCCCTTAGTTCTTCTTCATCATCAAAGTTATTTGCGTGTACAAAGTTCGATATATCTCCTAAGAAAAAATCCAGCTGTGTCGAATCAGGCGACCGCGCCGGCCAAGGGATAAACACGCACGGACTTCTCTGGAATTATGTACCGGAGCGCCATCTTGTTGAAACCAACAGTTCTGAACTTCCGCAATCGGTAAATCATCCAGAGCTTCCTCAAGATGATTCTCAAGCGAATTTCTATAACGTTCGGAAGTCTGTGTTTCATGGTAGATAGAAGGAACAATAATTCGTGTACCAAATATTGCAACCCACATATTAAAGCCGAAACGGTGTTGGTGTCTCGCTGTAATGTATAAATGTTCATTTTCTCGTGAACAATAATGTGTATTTTTTCTATCGAAGCTACCATGATTAGTGACCATGCTTTCATCAGTCCAGATGATTGTTCGAAAGAAATCTGCAAAATTTTAACATTTCCTGGTATACCACTCACAGAATGTCTTGCGCCTTTCGTCATCGCCTGGTTTTAGCGCTTGACATATTCTGAATTTGTATGGATGGAATTCTTGTTTCCGCAAAATAAAATGGGTTGTTGATTGGAACCAGTTGATGAGGTATTAGTGTGCTGACTAATTTTCCTTCAAAATAAGTGGAACTGATGGCATTTTTCCTTTGGAGTTTCGAAAAAACATTGATGATGACCAAAAATAGGTCGAAACACAAATGAACCACCTTGTATAATACATGGTTGAATTCAGAATAAAAAAAACCTTTTAGAATCTGTGAAAAAATTATCAGGACCGTATTTAAAAAACAAAAGTTGATGATTGTTCCATGAATGCGAAACGTCGGATGAAAAAATCGGTATCACCACGTTGACCGTCATCAAAAGTTGCTATGAAAAAATATTCTCAGTTTTACTGTATTATCTAATAATAACGGAGAAAAAAATAAAATAGAAATTCCAAAAATTCACTTTTTTCGATATAACTCAAAAATTAAAAATAATTTTCAAAATTTTCGAAGGCTCTTGATATGAGCCTCCGAATGCGCAACTTTTTCCCCATTTAACCGATTTCGTATCTCTTACCGTTTTCGAGATCTGCATGCTGTTCAACCTTATCTTGGACAGACTGTATAGTGATACTGGTTACTGGTCATGGTGGGGGACGTTTCCACGTCAGCAACTAGTCCCTAATGGGACCTTTTTGCAAACCCCAAGTGTTTTCAATGACTGATGTGGATCGCTCAAGAGAGCTAGCTAACATCCTTTTCAGGCACCGCCCATCAGCTCTCTTTTCAGAGTTTTTCAGCTGTGTTTTGTAGGCTAGTAATGTACTCACTACCATATGCGCAGTGGCAGGCCTGCTGACTATCCTCGTTAACCCCCGAGATCGAGGTCTACTTAAGCAGCTGGCCCGCTCTCACGCTCAGCTGGTAGTTTTCCACACCCACCTACAAACACCGTCCCACTTCCTCTCTGATGCTCACAACCACATCATCATCTCTTTCTGTGTGTTCTGTGTAAGATTCGTTACTCTATGCGCCACTTCAGGAGCAGCACTGTTAATTGGAACGCAACAGCGAATCGTGCAGGACTATCCCCAGCCGATGCTCCGAAACTTTACAATATTCAATTCGTAAATAAAATATTGAAAAAAGTTCTTTGCTCGTGCTGGGAATCGAACCCACGACCTTGCGGTCGTTAGACGGACGCTCTTTCACTGCGCCAATCCCGGCTCAGATATAGTGATACTTTTCCTGATATATCCGGTCATTTTTTCGAGAGAAATGATGTATAACGATATATTCTTCCTAATTTCGGGTTTCACAACAACTTTCGAGATTCTAAACCAGTTGACCAAAACTAGCAGCAGCTTCATCAGTAGTGTAATTAAAATTTTCCATGCTCCTGATTCGATTATTATTATACACTCATTTCAAAATACACGTTTAAGATTGGTTGAAATAACTGTGTTGATGATCGAAAGCATAATGTTTTCGATTATGTAATTCGGCAGTTGATTGGACACTGGATAGTTATTATGCTGTATTTTCGATTTTGTATTTCGCTTCCTTATCGGTAGTTTCATCAGAAATGAAACAAAATTACTTCTTTCTATGGATATAACACAAAATTGCCCTCGTTGTACTGTGTTCGATACATCAATGAGGTACTTTGTATATCATCAATTTTATTTCCGTATCTGATGTCACAGAGACTCCATTGTGTTATTATTTCAAAACAATATCTTCGCTCATGGAATGTCAAATTTCATACCCAAAGCATTTGCATTGAATGATTGTTAATGATTTTCTTGAATTTAAATTCAAAAATATCATCAGTTCAACACAACATGGTTTCTGCCAAAAATCTTTTACTACAAATCTTTTACTCTATGAGACCTACATTGTCGATGCCTTGGAAAAGGGACTCAGAGTTGATGCGGTATACACCGACTTCTCCAAGGCATTTGACAAGGTAGATCATAATTTGCTTTTCCTTGAGTGGTTCAAATACCTTGGAGGCAGTTTGTTGACTTGGCTAAAATCCTATCTAGATAATCGCAGGCAGAGAGTTAAGATTCATCAACTCCTCCTTGTCAGATGAAATTTCAATCACTTCGGGAGTTTCTCAAGGAGCTCATTCAGCACCATAACTGTTCAATTTATTTGTTAATGACGTAGCTTCTTGCTTTAAATTCAGTTCAATATTATTATATGCTGACGATATATAATATATCTAAAATTGGAGATACCCTCCTCCTCAACTCATCTTCAAGAGGATTTGGACAGGTTCTGTGTGTGGTGCCACAAAAGAAACTAGTTCTGAATATTCCCAAATGTAAATAAATTCGTTTCAGCAAAAATCACAGCATGATTAACAATTACTCATTACATGAAATTGGAGATGTAGACATTATGAAAGATCTAGGTATAATAATTTTTGACCCTAAACTTAGCTTTATTCCTCATATTGAATTTATTTGTCGAAGAGCTCTGGAGATGCTAGGGTTTATCAAACGATCAACAAAGAACTTTCATAATATTGTTGCGTGGAAATCCCTTTACTTTTTATTTGTACGCTCTCAACTTGAAATAGCAGCTCTGTGTGGTGTCCTGCCTTCCAAGCTCATATCATGAAAATAGAAGAGTTCAGAAACGTTTTTTGTTGTATTGGTTTCAATATCGGTATTCCTATTGAGGAATTTGATTATGACAATATCTTGAATTGCCTGAACATAAAAAGCCTAGAAGAGCGTAAAAACAACTCTGATATCATCACTATTCAAAAAATATGTAATGATCAGATTGACAGTCCTGAATTATTGACCTCCCTCAAATTTTATGTTCCTCAAAAACGATTACGTTAAGCAGCACTCAAAGTCACCAACCAGACCAAATGATGACATAATGGAAGCTTATACAGTGTAATCATAAAAAACAGCAATCAAATCTTATCTAAAGCTGTCTTCCTTTTGCCTGAGTGTCTTGTCCGATCCTCCTGTGAGTTGATCATTGATTCTTGTTTATTCTCAATTCATATTTTTTACTGAAATGAATAAATAGTTTCCTTCATCTTATTTTTTTTTTCTATTTACCTTCATGGTTGTGTCCAGATCTGGGAAAATACGCAACACAAGCTCTGCTTAGGCGTCTCCCAAGAACTGAACACCACCACTTATTCACCTATTTACTTATTTACTTATTAATAATTTCTTTCGCAATTTAATGTAATAAGATACTATTTATTTATGATATGTAACATTAACGATATAAAAGAACATGTATGTATGTATGTATCTGAATTGAATTGAATAAATTGATTGAATTGAAATACGAAAACGAAAGCATTTCAGGACCTATGTTTTTATATAAACTTCTCGTCTGAGAATCATCCAAATAATCGCCTCTTGAAGTTTTGCCATATACTCAAATAACACTATGCATAACTGGATAACCTATAACTGGATAACCTATATTCATAATACCGTTTTTTCAGTGCCTATCAAGCCACCAAACAGGATGATTTGTGGTCCCTGTACACCGTGAGGGCCCAAAATGCGAGCATCATCCCAAACACTCTAACAGTTGGAGCTCTAATGAACTCTTGGTCTACTCAAAGTGGATATCCTTACGTCACCATCTCGAGGAACTATACATCCGGTTCGGCCGTCCTCAATCAGACGAAAATGACTGAAGACACCAACGTTACTTCCGAAACGTTGTGGTACATCCCCATAACGTATACCACGAAGGATGACAGTGATACGGTGAAGGGGATTTGGTTGGAAAATATCAGAGAGAAGACCCTGGACTTGAGCGGTATCGCAAATGACTCGTGGGTTTTACTCAACATCGATGAAACAGGTTGGGACTAATTTAAGGAATATCATACCAGTAACCCGATTCAACCTAGACAGAACAATGATCATAGACATTAAATGTTTCCAAATAACCCCTTAGAAATCACATTCAACCAAATTGCATTATTGATTTTTGTCTGCAGAAACTGAGACCCATATGTACAGGGAGAAAAACTAAGAACGACTGTCGGCCATATCTCAGCAACGAATAATGGGGGAGACCACTGATTTTTTAAAACGGCATATTATCGTGAACTCTATTCTGCAAAACCACTAGTAAATTGATTTAAATTTTTTTCCTTTATTCTAAGACGATGAAAAAAATAAATTTGAATATGTTTATTCCAAAAACTTTTTTTTTGTTGTATAGGTATTTGAAATATCCATCAAACAAAAAAAAGTGATTTTATTCTTGGACTGTTATCGTGGCCATCAACTGCGACCAATTTTATTGACCCATATTTCGTAAATTACTATTGGGTATTTTGTTTTTTCACTAGAACTAATGATAGATTCTGAACCTAGATCACTCAATGTAACCCTGTACCGATTTTCATCATCATAAAACAAGGAGTGTCCGAAAAATCGGATTAATAGATATATTTTTTGTATACTTGATCAGAAAATGTAGTACTGTGGTATGTTTGGGAAGAACTAATGTCAAATGGATATTTAGGACTACTTCGAACATATCAGCCTCGATTATTATCATTCAAATATACAATGTGTCTGAGAAAACAAAAAGGGTGGGTAGGCAATTTTTTCATCAACCAAAAAATAATAAAAAAAAAATTCGGACACCCTGTATTTTATGATGATGAAAATTAGTACAGGTATGTTCCGAGTGATCTTGAATGAGAATCTGTCATTATTTTCTAGGTATAGACTATAGAATCATGCATCATGAAATATTGTCTACTTATTCGGTTCGGTTCAGTATCTCCTATGTCCTTTGAGATATCAAATTGATGACACAACACTGTTCTGAAGCAAAGTAATATTTTTGTGATTAACGGACATGGGAGACACTGAACTTTATTAAATCGATCAATAACCCTGTTTTTCAAATTTATCTGCACGATTTATCGAAGCTCAAGTATTATACTTTGAAAATAAAATTTCTGGAAGTAGGTAGATATTCGCGTTTCAAGATAATTATGTGTATACCGTTTTCATATCGCACATGCTGATGAGAATTATTAGTTCTTATATCAAAAATAGGTATTCAGAGAAAAATAACTCTTAAGAACGATTAAGAAATATGATTTCATGGGAAAAATAATGGGAGGATATACTAACGACAAACTTCAATTTAAAAAAAAATTAATTATACCGATGCCGCTTTATTCGAGAAGTACTTCAACTATATCTATCAATCCATAGAATCAACTAGAATCAAACAATGAATAACCATGAGTCAGCTTCATAAGATGAAGCATAAAATATTACTTTAGCGATGTGAATATTAACCCCAAATCTTAGAAATATTCAGATATCTGACTATCTCGTACCACAACTCACCATAAGAAATAAGTGATTGAAACAGCGGGCGGTTGGAATAGATATTAGTCTGGGTGCATAAACTGAAATTTTAAAGGGATTTTCACAGAAGTCGTTACTTTTGATTTGAGCCCCACTGTACATCAAACGTAAATCATGATTCGTCGATTGGAAGAGGTTTGCACGGATTTCTTCCCTCAGTGGTCTTCCCAATTACACAACATTGAACCAAAAATATCTCAAGAAAAGTGATCCTAAAAAATAGCTGGAAAATATATTTAGGTTTTTGAAAATACCGCTAGGTAATCAATGTTTAGAAGAATTGACGCATACATTTTAGTTTTGGGAATGATAAAAACATTATAATCCAGCCTACCTAGGTGAATTCCATGAATAGTCCGTTTTTTTCCTCAAATCAACGACGTCCCTGTTCTCCAAGAAAAATCATTGATGTGTCAGATAACGTTAATGGTTTATAAGAAGCTCAACATAATTGACCGCTTATTTCGAAATTTTTCAAGATAACACAAATTATATAGAAACAATTATTATGTGCAGATGCCATGCTGCAATCATACGTGTATAAATTTGATGATATAAATATAATTCACACTTTCATTTTGCATAATAATTATGTATCATTATTTTAAACTGAACTCTTGAATTTTCGATTTGAAATGGTAATTAATGTGTGATAATCTCTCTCAAAACAAAGATCATTCGTAGATCATGATTATCATAATACATACTTATAACGATAATTATTCAACATCTTTCAAATCGCTCATCTAACCTTCACTCCAAATATCGCAATCGTCCCGATCAGATTCTAAGGTTGCGTTGAATCCTCCATGAACTATAAACGATTTGGAATTAGTCCCATTGCTGATAATTTATGCTAATTAAGATTCTCGAGTATAGGTTTCGATAATGAGTCAACAAGATGTTCATCTATATGTCCTCTGATGTACCTTTAATTTTATATTCTAGCACTTCATGATAAGCTAATTCTTTCTGGTACCCCCACTCTCACGTTGGTAGATTATAGTAGAGTGTGGACACACTTATCATTATTTTGTTAAACAGCTGAACAAGAAAAATATAGACACACATAATTATGTTTAATAAGAGATGAAATGTCATTTGTCTTTACCCTTTCATTGAACGATTGCCAACATCCCATATAGTACTCGACGTTCTGGGGACGTCTATTTCTGATCTGATTCAGGTCTGAACGTCCAGGACCTTCCCAAGACGTACTGAAAACGTCCATTTCTAGACGTACTGGGTATGTACGATTCCGAGTTCGAGTACGTACAACTCTGGACGTTATCGACTTTTTGTGGACGGGATTGAATAAATTGTAAAATGATAATTGAAATAATTGCATATAATTTGTACCCTCGATCTCTGATATCTATCTTTCAAACATGAATACCATACAATTCTCACAATTCATTTTTCACTGGCCGTACCTATTCAAGAAACATCTATTTAGGTATTTTCTGCCGTGATCATCCAATTTTATGGATGTATCAATGTGAAGGGTCAATCGACATTCGCACATAATATCTTGTTGTATACTGATATATCAATAAGTGTTCTGTAAAGTGATAGGTAGAGCTTTTTTATAACTATCTGAGTACGTTTTGGGGACATTCTAGTGCTATATGAGATGATATTTTTCAGAACCACCCTAACATTGGCGTAACACCAAAGGCAAATAAAGCTCATTGTGTAGTTATCAATATCAGGTCAATGAATGTATTTCCATGATGTGAATATTGGGATTTGAAGCTTCAACGAACATTTGAGATGTCGTCTCGTCTTTTGGGCAGATCAGATAAATGTTAACTATCATTCTCAGAATCTTCGCAATACGTAACCGGAAAAGAAATATTCGAAAACATGATCGCGGGAACGCTTATTTGATTTTCAGAACTGACGTTTCAACTCTGGAAATGATGAAAATGCTGAAATGTCAGTGGTGACAAGCGTGTCCACACTCTTTGAAGGGCATAAAATGAAATATTCGAGGCACTCTAGATAATATAGTAAGTAAGTCCCAGGCAACCAGATGACGAATTATTGGTCACGTCACTGTGACCTACCAACTGGTAATTTTTCGTCAGAGTCGTCATCAATTTCGGAGGTCACTAAGAAGTATTTTCTATGACATAATCACGTCACCATCACGACGTTGAGTGAACGTGACTTGAATCAATAAAGTGAGATGTCAATTTCATGACGTCGCAGGGACGACCTGTCAACTTCATGTTTCTATATAGTTCGGTATGTGTATATACCAGGTTTCTCAGATGTCAAAAGTACCCCTGAAAAACCGATCACCAGCTCAATTTTTTCAAGTTACAGCGTATAAATTTTTTGTTGATATGTGAAGTGCAAATCCTAACTTCAACGATGTATTACAGTCAATAATTTGACTGACTCGTCCAATTGACAGAATAGTCATGCGGAGTAAACGTGGAAGGTACTGTCTTAGTTGACTATAAAGAAATATCTACACCGCCTGATACTGGTTCCTTCGAATTTTGTAATTTCGAAAGTATTACGTATGTCAAAATATCAAGTGTGATACATCATCCAAGTTAGAATCGAGTTCACTTCAATTATCAACAAGAAATTAGTAGGGTGTAAGTTAAGGTGTTCCGAAAACGTCACTATTATGACGTGACGTATACGTATACGTCGGTGTGACGTACTAATTTGGTGGACTTTGTCAAACATCTTTCAAAAATTTGCAATTTGGATTCTTTTTGAGTGACAAAGAATATATGAATATACGTTACTCAACAAAGTGAAGCTATGAATTCGCCTGGAGATACTCACTCAGTATAGCGCCGCTGAAAATACGATTGAGGGACATGACACCCGAGGGACCACAATTCAGTCCAAACAATTTATAATCAATATTAGATTTTATCACAGGTTAATGTGTTGTATCATCCCACCATCATCATGCTTGAGAAAACTTTTTTACGTTTCAATACCAAATTTGAAAGTCATTTCGACGTCAGTAACGTCAGTAAAGGTGAGTAATTGTAATGGGTTGTGACTCATTGACGTCATTCATGACGTCTTCAATGACGTCAACTCTTGACGTCATGTGGTTGCCTGGGCTATAATCATGTTGAAAGACCTGGTATAAGTAGTCCGTGAACTCTCCATAAAATACACGAATGTAGCCCCGTCTTCTCTATGAGACTCCATAGGCTAGCTTTCAGATCCCCTGTGTATCTCTGGGCTTCTGGTTTTTCCTCACCCAGCGTAAGGAACCTTAGTCTTGACAAACCCTCACAGTGGCAAAGTATGTGTACTGCTGTTTCCTCCTCTTCCTGACAGAACCTGCACAGCAGTTCTTCAGTCAGACCTATCGTACTCATGTGTTTGTTGAGCCTACAATGCCCTGTGAGAAGTCCCACTAGTATTCTAGTTGAACTTCGTTTCTGGCTTAGTAGATACGAATGTATGTTAGTACCTACTAGAGATTATTTGTTTTTATGACTCTTCTATGTCGAAAAATCATTGCATCCTAAACCATTTTTCTATTTTCTGACACCTTGTGATTCAGTCCTCGATACATGGAATGATGTTGTGCAATATTTGATTTTCATAGGTTTCTACAGAGTGAACTATGACAGGCGAAATTGGAACCTTCTCGTTTACCAACTACGACGAAGTCCTGGTGCAATCCCGGTGGCTAACAGAGGACAGCTTATAGATGACGCCTTCCAGCTAGCTGAGGCCAGTATCATCAACTATACAATCGCGTTCGACCTGGTCAAGTACCTCTATATCACGGAACCAAACTATATTCCATGGTACAGTGCGCTTAGGAACATGGAAGAACTCAGAGTCATCATCAGTAATTACGAATACTCGGTATGTAGATTCTGCAAAAGTGATGACCATAAAGCTTTCGATGGAATGAAGTGATTTTGTATTTCGTGTGAAATTTATTATAAACTTGCAAAGCGCTTTCGGCTGGAAAGCCATCATCAGTGCTATACCTGCAAGTAGTGCAAGTACGTAACATTTATGAAATTTCAACAACACAAATCGATAAATGTAGATTACTCACTCGTCAAGTATTTACAAAAAGGTCCAAAAAATAGTAATCGACGACATCATTATGGTACAAACGGAATTAGGAACAGGCATACATTTATGTATTGGTGATACCAAACATAGATATTTGTTGAATTCATAAAGCGACCTTCGATACTCACCCAGCGAGCACAAACATCCCTGGGATATTTTGGGATGTTTTGAAAATGTTGGCATGAGGATGTTTTTTTGAGACGTGATTCAACATCCCAAAGAGGTCTTTGAAGGACATTGAAGTATTGTTTTTGTACTTCTGTGACATTTCTTTGCGTGCCCACTGAAAGGTATCCCTGGGATTTTTTGGGATGTTCCAAAAATATTGGCATGAGGATGTAGTTTTGAGACTTCCCAAAGAGTTCTTTGAAGGATATTGAGGGTTTTTTTTGTTCTTCTGAGTCATTTCTTGTTTACCCCACCGAAACTCATCATGCCTACGTCACAATAATACGATGAATTCGAAATTTTTCTCGATCTTGTTGTTCTTGTTCGCATGTGCGTTTGCAGCGTCTTTTATTCATTCAATTATTGGGTACAGGGTGATTCATTATAAATGCCCCCCTCCCCGTTAGCTCAGTTATTTTTGAACCGATCGCAAAATTCAAGGAATCGTTTGAAATGATTTTTCAATAAGTTTTTTCCGCTACATCAGAAAATACAGGGTGATCGGAACAAACGATCTACAGGGCACTAGATGATTTTTTGAAATGGAAACCCTGTGATTAATTTCATTGTCATATTCTCCCTAAAGAGCTGATTTCATCAATGCATTACACTTGGGGACTAGCAGGAATAATTACGGAGGTATAGGGTGTTCAAAATCGTGATTTTTTTAACTTTTGCGTCCAAACTATTCAGTATTGGTCAAAACGAGTCATATGTCCCTATCACAACTTTTGGTTTACTATCTATTGACTTTTAATCGGAGGTTCAATGAATAGCTTCGACAGAAAAAAATCTTTGAGTTGAAAAATCTCGATTTTGAACACCCTATATCTCTGTTATCATTCACGCTAGACCCCTAGTGTGATACATGAGATCAGCTCTTCAGGGAGAATCTATAAATACAATGAAATGTAGAGTGTTTCATTTGAAAAAATCAACTAGTACCCTGTAGATCGTTTGTTCCGAGCACCCTGTATTTTCTGATGTAGCGGAAAAAAACTTTATCAAGAATTATTTCAAATGATGCCCCAAATTTTGTGTTTGATTGAAAAATAACTGAGCTAGATGGGGGGACATTTATGGTGAATCACCCTGTACAATACCAACGACCTCCTATTACCCTCAGAACGTATTCATCCTAATCAAAAATAACCAGACGTGTCGTCCATAATTCGTAATAATATGTCAAACAGCGTAGAATATTTTACGAATATTCTGACAACGTTCAGATTGTTCGTACCCATACTTATTCAAGAACACAATATATTTGTCTACATAATGTTTTCAATTCATACTGAACTTCTCTTTTTTCTAGGGATTGTACGACAATTTCTTGTTGAGATTGGTCAAGCCTATGTTCAATGAATTGGGAACCGACGAGAAAGTACATGATACTCAGAATGAGAAGTTGCTGAGATTACATATCGTGACAACTGCTTGCAAACTGAGATACGGAAAATGTATATCATGGGCAAGGAATAAGTATTATGAATGGATGCAACAACCTGATCCGGACTTTATCAATCCGTAAGTACAAAAGATATAAAGCGAGTCTTTTCGATGAATTACATTTTGATTGTAGAATTCCTGTGGACTATAGATACATAGCCCAGTGTTCAGCTATAAAATCAGGAGGTCCCCTGGAGTGGGACTTCTTGTGGAACAGAACTTTGTCACCTCACATTGCACCAATTGACTTACAAACGGCTTATCTCAGTCTGGGTTGTTCTTATGACCCCTGGCTAATAAACAGGTGGGTACAATAACCTAGTCATTTTTTGTGTATGAAATTACAAAAATTAAAGAATACCAATCACGCAACTGTAACTACTGCAAGAATATAAGAGTGATTTAGGATGAAGGGATATAAGAGACGTGGTATATGAAGAGACGGAATCAGCTAGATAATTTTAAAAATTTGTATGCGTGAGAACTGCTCTTCGGCCTCGGTCATTTGAAAATTTTTATAAATACACTGTGGCCGCTTATTAAATCAGAAGAGAGAGAAAAGTTTGTTATTTTGGATAGGCACACCATTAGGAATTATTCAAAATTCCAGAGCTGTGATGATTTTGTACATCAAGCTTATTTAGTAATAATATCAATACCTTCCCTAATGTGAAGCTGTTTTGGGGATGATAATTGATAATAATTGACTGATAATAATTTTGAAATATTGAATTTTTCTAGATTGTTGGTGTTTTCTCTTCTCATCTATATAAATATGAAAACCTCAAAATTATATCAATATAAGTTCCTACCTGAAGTAAGGATGAATCATGTCACTGCGCTTGAAATTTCCCTATCAGGAAGTTGAAAAAATACATTAGACAGTTTAAGAGCAAAAGAATATGAGTAAATTGGAAAAGAATTTAAATTCAACTCATCTTTGGAGGTTTCATAAACGAATCTGTTTATCTGTTTCGGCATGAAAATAAAAAATAATTCTTGATACACTGAGGAAAATTTTCATTTACCATAGTTAGAAATCGAATTATTTCAGCAAGAAATTGCATATGGGACAAACGAGTTATCACCTGTGATTATAAAGTCAACTCTGCCGATTATAACCCACCTGCGATTATTGGATATAGAAGTTTGCTGCCACTAGCGAGTGCATCTGTATATTGCTATCAGACGATATTTCTCTAGTAGGTATACGACTTTGCTACTGCTAGTGAGTGCATCTAATAATAGGAGTAGGGCAATTTCAGAATCATAGGTGGAGAACTTTGCTATTCTTGGTGGGTGATCATATAGATAGTTCCTTGACCGTCTTTCTGTAGTTATTCAGTTATTTTCCAGGATTGTTGTCATGAAAGAAGGTGAAATTTTGACTGAAATCCAATTCCACTTTCCATAATTTTCCCCCTGGTTTTTGGTATGAAATAGATATTTACGTAATTAGTTAGGAAACGCGTTGTTTTGTGTAACAATGGGATTTTGCGGGACGAGCGAAGCGAGATCCCGCAACATCACAGAGTTACACAAAATGGCGTTTCCTAACGTGTCACGTACAATATTTTTTCTAATTTTGACGAAACATTTCGCATGAACAAAAATAATGACCAGTTTTACATGAGTTCTGCCGACTCTTCACAAAATTTAGTAGGCTAGTTGACTTCGCCTGCCACTTTGAAGTATCCGTCAAACAACAATACGGTCACAAACTAGCGACGAAATAGAATCGTTTGATGTTTTTATAGGTGAAAAATATCCGATTCAAGTTCTGATTTACCAAGTGATATTGAGGAAGCAGCACAAAATGCACTATTAACCATATTCTTATTTCGTAACTGGTGTTGAAATGAACATCACATCACCAGTTATGTAACATTTTACTTTACGCAACTGGTTACGTAAAGTAAGACGTTTCAAAACTTCCGTCAGTTTTGAAAAGTGTCAAATTATATGTCGAAATTAGAAAAAGCAATGTATTGATTCCTAGAGAAAATTTCGGACCAATGATCTTGAAATTCAATAGATCAATTAATTCGCACCCACCCAATTCGACAATATTAAAGTTTCATTGGACCAAGAAGGAGGAAATGGTGAATGCAAAAAATATTGATATTTCAGTCAAAATACCTTGGATAAACTCACTTTTATTATTCCATCAATCCCGGTAATAACTAAAGGACTCAGATCAACGTACGCACTGAAAGGGACACTTCAGATTTTTTCACTTGTTCGAGAATGTTTTCATTTTATATTTGGATTCAGATTCAGATTCAGATTACTGAATTGGATTGAAGAAAGGAAGTATTCCTAACTGTCGTGTCGTCGAGATTGTCGTCCTGTACATGAGTTTGCCCAACTGGGAATGATTGAACATTTCTTTGAGACAAATGCTCATGAAGGAGAAAAAATCAGCAAAATATCGAATAACCATAAGTAGGCGCTCAATAACCCCAATAAGGTTCCTCAAATATTATCTTTTGTGACAGGCTGACAGTTGTATTATTGGTAGTGAGTGCAGTTTTATGCGATGCGTTGAACCTTGCAGCCACAGGCATATAACTCACTAGTAGTAATTCAGCTCAACTATTAAAATAAATTATTTCGTGGTTCATTTTCATTTTACTTACCTTGGCTATACAATCGGATTCCTGAAGAATACAAACACTTGTCTCTGCCTTCATTCAAGAAAAGAGTTAAGAAGGCCCTTATGGACGGTAAACTTAATAACCTATGTTCGTAATGTTTTTTTTTTTATTTGTTTTTCTTCCTTCTATTTTTTCAGGTTACTTCTATCTATATTGAATAATTGAATAATATATACATATAATGATGAATCAGTAGGTACTGGTTGTTTCGTGTATACATACTTACATAATTACTTTTTGTTATTCTATAATCTTGGACAATATCTACAGTTCTTAGTAGTAAAGATTGGCCGGTTCTGGCTCTCCGCCCTAGGTCACCGTCCTCCGACCTTGGGCGGAGTGACCTTGGGCGGGAGTGACCTTGGGCGGGAGTGACCTTGAACGGGTCTGACCTTGGGCGGGAGTAACCTCGTATAGTGAAGTGTCGACAGCACGCCCTTGAACGCGGAGGTGACCTTGAGGGCGAGACAAAGTGACCTTGAAGGAAGGTTGTACGAGTAACCTTCGCATATGTGACCTTGGGAACGAGTGACCTTGAGTTGTAGAGAGAGAGAGAGAGAGAGAGAGACCTCGACCTTGGAGAGGGAGGTGAAAGCGTGTGCGACCTTGAAAATGGGAGTAGGCTGGTCGAGGTCGTTTTGGTAGAAGTGGGGTGCTGTGTCACGTCACATATCCCAGTTCCTATAAATACATCATTGTATCGTCTGCGAGAGCATAGTTCTCCTAATAATACGGAAGATACGCACCACCAACTCGCACATAAAAAATATACCCGCTCAAATTGATTGGGAATATAAAGTGTTTGCAATAAAAGTGTACGTGAACTGTTATATGTAAGTAAAAATTATTTATATACTTTTTACACCTCTTTTCACTCAACAAAGAAGAATTTATAATGGCAGCTCCTAAAATTGATTTGTTAACGATAAATAATCGAATTAACGAAGACAATGATATTATCAAGCAAACTGTTATCTCATCACTACTCTTGAATAAAAGCTATGTGGTCAAGAAAATATCACTATGTGGAACCAGGTTTGGTAGGAGCGGTTCTGTAATATTGTACGATGAAGAAACTGAGGCTAGTCTGAAATGTTGGTTGCCCAAAAGAGTTGTAGAGTTGCTGAGTGACAGCGACATTGATGAGATGAATTCTTCAAATGGTCTTTATACTCTAGCATATTTGGGCCAGAGTGAGCCATTATATGTAGGTGCAAAAACGAGGGCTCTCATCAAGTTTGACTTCAAGCAAAATTAATTCGGAATTATTCTACTTAATTATTTCTGATAGGTTTTTTTAGTATAGTTTAGTGAAAAGGGTTTAAAAATTATATGATAATTATTATTACATTAACACAAGCCACTAACGCAGATCGTACCGTTTGCGGTAAGTAATAAATTAGGTTCCAAAAAGAATTCAATGAAAGACAAATCTCCCAAATAATCTCATCATCACCAAACTTTTTTTTATCATTTACAGACTCCTGTTCCCCAACATGTGGATGTATTATTCTAGTCAATTCTGGCCGGCAGCGGAAGACATCAAATCAGCAGTGAGCAGGTTGAAATGTCAGTTCTCTGATTTGTCACGTGATGCAATGCATGCGACAAATTATGATTTGAGCATATGCTTCGATCGAGAACAAGTTGAACGACTCTGTAAACAAGCCGAACAATATAGAAAGGGTTATATGTTATGCGCCCGGTTCGAATATGGTAGCTTCACTTTGGAGGAATTTCTTAAAGCAATGGTGGGAGAGGACTTGGACCAATTTCTGTATGAAATTTTTGATTTCCTACCAAACAGCCTGATACGGAAGTACAACTTGGGGGTAATTCCAAAATCATCCGACAACGAGGAGGAAGGAGAAGAAGAATCGAAATGATGATATTGCTAAGAGATGCTTCAATCATACTATTATCATTTGCATGTATATATATATAAATTATGGAATGATGATGATGAGCTCGCATTTTTCATTGTCTATCAATCAAGAAATAAAAACGATGATTTGTAAAACATTTGTTTACTTTTATTCAATTTAGTGCAGATACATGTGTCGATAATAATAATAATAATAATAATAATCATGATGATAATAAATAATAATGAACATAATAATAATAATGAAAAAACTGATCTAATACAATTATAGGCTTCGAATGCTCATGGTCGGCTGTGGCGGTGGTGGTGGAGGTGGACGGAGGCTAGAATTTGCTCCAGATCTGTAGAGTGTATTCAAGGAGCACCCAACTGTATTGAACCATCTAGTGCGCTATATGTCAAAAATGCATCGTGAAGAATGAGCGCATATACCTTGGTATTAGATGGAAATTTCGATTGGCGTGTCTCAAACTCCAACTTGATATCGACAGTTGAAGATTTCAATGTGTCCGGTTGATGGCTGCAGTCTATGATGAATAACGGATTTTTTCTAAACTCCTCAATACTCATCATTGGTTCGCTCATGTCTTTACCATGATAGCTTCGTTGGAAATTATCGTATGCATAATAGGCTACAGCATCTAACTTTTTTCCAAAATCCAAATTCCACCGTTCATAAGGGTAAACTTCCGAATTCAAATACAGTCGAATATTGTTGACTCCCGCATGAATGAATTGGGTGGTATCCTTGGATCTATTATC